AGGAAACATTTACCTTCAATGTGATACCATTCGACGCGAATTCAGAATAAGTCCGACCCCAATACAGATACCGAACAACGATTAATAATTAAACAAAAATAATTTGAATCATGACCAATGACCCTTTGTGCACACTTTTCTTACCTCCTACGTCAACAAATAAAAAATCTCCATGCTTTCATTATATCCCACACATGTTCATAACTATTTTAAACTCTTTAAATCCACCATAAAAAAAGTACAACCAAAACAACACATCAAATCAAAATATACACTAAACTATGAATAACACAACTACAAGGACCATTTTTTTTTGGTCCATTTCCTTTACCATTTTACTATCTTCCATCATTTTTCCTCTATATTACAATAACCAAACAAATAATGATAATTTTCTAAATAGGGTCATAGAAAAAAGTGGTATACAAGATTTCTTTTTTGTCTTTGATGAAATTACAAGATCATTATTATTATTGCAAAGTTCTAAATGTGAAAATTCCAAATGGAACTCAAAACTTATATCATTATATGGAGTTTCTCATGTTTTAACAGTGGATTTAAATGGTTGTGGAAATTTCAGCAGTATACAAAAGGCTGTGGATTCTGTTCCTGATGATAGCTCTACTAGAACACTTATTCTAGTTGATTCAGGCACATACAAGTAACTTTTTTCTATTTTTTTTATTTTACTTATTTTTCATTTTTATATATATTGATCGGAGTTTAACTCATATACATTGAAAATAGAAATAATTTTTACTATATCATATTAATTTGACTTATTGTAGCAAGTAATCTACCTTATTTTAAGATCGTAGATCCCACTTTTTAAGGAGGAATATATATATATATATATATATATATATATATCCTCTTAAAATCTCAACAATACAATTTTAACAATACAATGAGTTAGGTGATAATAATCTTAAATATTGAACTTATTAAATTTAAATCAGAATTCGCTCTATATACCATCGGTGTATACAAATTGTATTCTATTTGAGTTTGTAAGGAAATTCAATTGTAACTTAGACACTACCAATATAAAGAAATTTGTTGTGATAGATAATTTGCTTTATTTTTTTGGTTATAAACTCTTTTTTTATGAACAATTACTTGTATTGATAGTGTCAAAAGTTATACGCACTATCACTACATCAAAAATTATTTTTCGTGGTAATTAATTAACGGCAATAGGTTAGTTGCCGTTTATTTTTTTTAGAGGCAATTGTCACTCTTTGTAAATATCGCTAAAGGATCCAATAACAATTAACTAATGCTGATAAATTAAAGGATTCAACACTCTTTGTTAATGTTCTTATTTATTACCACTAAAAGTTGTTTTTGTTGTAGTGTATATATGTTACATTACGAGTCAGTGTATACAAAGATATTTAACTCTTAGAATTATAATTTTAATTAATTGGAGTTTTACTATGCTATTAATTCTGGCAGGGAGAAAGTGGTAATAAACTCTAGCAAAACAAATTTAATAATACAAGGCCAAGGTTATCAAAATACTGCTATAGCATGGAATGATACTGCAAATTCTACTGGTGGAACTGCTAATAGTTTCACTGTTGCTATTTATGCTCCCAATTTTATTGCCTATAATATCAGCTTTCAGGTATACTAATTTTATTTTATTTTCATAATGTGATCAATCTTATAATTAATTTTTTTTTTTCTCATACAATTTTAATTGGAGATAATTTTTCATGAGTAATATTAGTAGATCCAATGTATGCTGCTGCTACTACTACTACTACTAAAAAAAAGCTACTGAATTTAGCGTTGACCAATCGCTAAATAGGACATGATTTTTTGACAATCGTTATAGGATAAGCTATGTAATTTTGTTTGTGACTAATTAATACATGTTTTCTTATATATAGGAGTCTTATAGTCTCTGTTATCTTTTTCTTAAACTAATCGCGGTGTCAGATCAATTTATATATACATTGACTAATTTCATGGTTATTTGCTTTCTCCCATCAAGATACTCGATAAATTTGTCCGCTAAAACTTGAACATACAAGGCAGAAACCATCATCACTAGTATTTTTGCTTTAAATTTGAATATGAGACCTCATAATGGTTTGCAGTACTATAAAGAAACTATTACTCCCTCTGTCCATTTTTAATTGTCATGTTACGTTTTTCAAAGTCAATTTGACTAATTTTTAAAGTTAAATTAGATTACATTAATTCGATATTTTAAACAAAAAATTTAGATATTCAAAAACTATATGAAAAGTACTATAAATTCCAATTTTTTTGCATATCAATATGATGAAAAAATATATCGTAAAATGTTAGTCAAAGTTATTATCGTTTGACTCTAAAAAAAAAAGAAACTATGACAATTAAAAGTGAACGGGGATAGTATTATTTGTAATTAATATTGAATTGAAACAGTAAAAATTCATATAATCAACATCAACTTGCTTGAAATTGAGGCACAATTATTATTATTATTTATTTATTAACCATGTTTTTTTTTGTGATTTTAAGAACACAGCTCCAGCAGCTTCACCAGGTGATGTTGGAGCACAAGCAGTGGCTGTAAGAGTAAGTGGAGATGAATCTGCATTTTATGGTTGTGGATTTTATGGAGCACAAGATACTCTTAATGATGATAAAGGAAGACATTATTTTAAAGAATGCTTCATTCAAGGATCCATTGATTTTATTTTTGGAAGTGCTAGATCACTCTATGAGGTACATTTATTAACGGGTTCGTTCGTGTATACAACTTAAATTCATTTATTTTTTGGTTTTGAATAACTTATGTTGCTAGCCAATAGTGTTTACTTAGACCATGTATTTTAACAAATAATGACATGAATGAGCTAAATTTTTAACGGATAACATAAATGAGCCATTTTTTAAAGTTTGATGACATATTTGATTTTTTCCCCTTTAAATAAATATCCGACTGAATTCAATGTTTACTTACCCTAGTCGGTATACATAAGTTTATGGGTTCTGAACTTGCTATTAAATTCGTAGTCTTCATAGTTACTTAATTCACAATTAAATATTTACACATATTTGATGGTTTTCGTAATACAAACACAAAGTCTAAGCAAAAGTTACTAGGTTCATCGAAATATGTAATTGTTATACACCGGTTATACTCATTATAAATACATGTGCTAGCTATTTTTCAGTTTAAACATTGAGTGAACGACTATTTAGGTTAATTCTTCTTCTTCTTTTAATTCCAAACTCCATAACTAATACGAGTAATTATGAATTCAAATATTACGTTCAGAATCTATAAACTTCAAATTCTGACTCGACTGTTTACGACAGGATTGCAAGATAAATTCAATAGCAAAAGAAGAAACAAGTGGTGAAATAGGAGGATCCATCACAGCACAAGGAAGAAATTCCAAAAATGAAAATTCTGGATTTTCATTTTTAAATTGTGTTATTAATGGCACTGGAAAAATATGGCTAGGCAGAGCATGGGGAGCATATGCTACTGTTATTTTTTCCAAGACTTATATGTCTGATGTGATTTCCTCAGATGGATGGAATGATTGGAGAGATCCAAATAAAGATCAGTAAGTATTAATGATCATCACATAATTTGTTACTTTGTCTGTTTCATTTTATGTGATAGTGTTTAAATACATATTGAAATTTGAATACGGAGTTTAATTTAAGGGCTCGTTTGGACATAGTACTCTTAAAAAACATGTTTGGTATACGTTATGTCAATTTTTCACTCCAAACTTGTAAAAAAAAAAACTCGTAAAACTTTAATATTTTTTCAAGTGATATGCATGTTCACTCAATTCATGTCCATACTCTATTAAGATTTCGATTGAAAAGATGTTAGACTGGTAAAATATGTGCTTAAGAAGTCGAGATAATCATGATTGAAGTCAATTCTACATTTTCTTACTTAATCTTATTTATAAAAATAGCACTTAAACAATACTACTCGAAATGAAGCCCAATTGATTCAATTTGGTTAGTTGAACAAACAAAGAATACACCTTTTAAAACTTATGTTCTTATATTATACATTGCATAACATTTCTATGGCTATTAGATCATGTCATTAATAAGGATGAAATATAAACTATATATTATAAAATTTAATTATTTCTAAATATAGAAATACGTCTATTCTTTTTTGGATAGACTAAAAGGACCAGAGTAATGTTAAATACTTAAAGACTGAATATTACCATGTTTTGCAGGACAGTATTGTTTGGAGAATATGATTGTTTTGGACCAGGAGCTAATTACACAGATAGAGTATCATATGCAAAGCAATTGAAGCAAAATGAGGCAAATCAATACATGGATATTTCATTTGTAGATGGAGAACAATGGATTTCTAATGGAAGATCAGACACTTAATTTTTGAGATTCATTATATTTTAACATAAGATACAAACCTTAATTAAGATTTTAGAAAAAAACTTACTAAGGATATACATTATGATATATTACTTTGTTGTATAATGACAAATAAAAGCTTTTTTACTCGATATAAAATCATACTTAACTTATGGATTTTAACTATAATTATCTAATAAGTGATTTGATTGTGTATTTGTTTACATCATCAGTACATAAAACTTAACTCTTTTGCAATTTATTCTATTTAAATATATATAGTCCATGTATCTCTTTTGCATGAAACTCATATTTTTGAAGCAATTACATGTCTGTACAGAAGTATTTAATGTATTTTAGCACGATGAGATATATCCATGACATTGCAATCATGTATTTTTTATTTCCACCTAAAAAAGGATGTAAAACACATATAAAAGATTAATATCTTTTTTTTTGATAAAAATATAAAAGATAAATATCTTATGGATCTATTATAACAAGAATCACAATACAAAATTAGTTATAAGATAGAAACTAAAAAGGGCACTGCAAAATCAGTTTACTAAGTAGAGATCCGTTGTCTCTATTGGTAAGGTAAGGCTTAGTACAGTCGTACTTCACCCTTTGACGATTTTATTTTTATTAATAAATAAATGCTAGATACTCTGTCTAGTAGAATAAATCCACTTTAAAGAAGAAGACGAATCACCCTAATATTTAAATATGAGGTCCTTGTAGCCTTCCTTATTTTCAGAATAGTACTTGACCTCAGCCTGCAAAACAGAAAAATCATTCTCAGCATGTTCACAATTGTTAGAAGAATTGAAAAGACTTCTAAGAGTTAAATGTCAAACTAGTACTCTTTTATCAAAAGTTTTGGTTACTCCATTTACCATTATGCTAATTGCTAATCTAATAACTTAGAAGCAAAAAAGAGCAAATTGAAGCATGTTGTTTAACTCATGCAATGACAGATTTCATACTAAGAACATATCGCGTTCTTCCACTTTGCTATTCGATATTGTTAGTACTTAGTTACTTTTAGCAATTGAGTTCATAATATAACAACAATATCAAAATTATGCAGAAGGGAGAATGAGCATATCCTTTATGTCAATAAACTTGAGTATGAAGGCATGATTCAGTTTCACATCCAAGTTCACGCCTTTAAACATCCAAACTGGTCAATAGGAATAATTCTAAAGGTATAAAATCTGAGCTTCTATGGAAGAGTTATATGAATGTTGATGAGCCATATTCAATCTTATTTCATTATACCTGACGAACTTTTTGAGGGATAGCAGTTCTTAAGTGAAAAGAATAATTCTGTCAAATGTATACACCAAGCATCCATAGCAACGTACCTTGCGAACTCCTATTATGGCAACCAAAAGCTTTTCACCAATCATTTCTTTGAATAATGAATCTTTCTCTAAAGCTTCAACAGATTCAGAGAGAGTCAATGGTAATCTTTGAAGATTCTCTTTAAGGATATCAGGATCTCCATCTGTTTCACAAGAAAACATAAGTGGAATGACGGATAACAGAGAATATAAAAGTATGTACTCATAAATAAATAGAATAATCCCTTGCTCTATTTGTTTCTAACCAAACTAAGAAAACTCAATGGCTGATACAACTAACTTACATGCACTTAGCTAGAAGAATTCCTTGTCATATTTTAAACCGAATCCATTGTCATTAGTTTCTTCTTTCTTCCTTTTTTTAACCCCTCCCTAGGAGCTCCCATCCTTTTTGCTCCCTTGGTGAATCGAACTCACAACCTTCGGGTTGGAAGTGAGGGGTGCTTACTATCCGAGCAACCTCCCTCTCGTCAAGTTTCTTTCTGTTACCCCTTTATTTTTATTTTTTCCTTTTGCAGATAAGTGAATAGAAGGTCAAAGATATTTTGATTTGACATATCAAAGAGAGGAGAAACAATGACATCTAAACATTAGGAATTGATCTAAATTCACATGGTTTGAATCAGAAGATGTGTCAAGAGCCAAAGGGTAGCATCTATTACTCCCTCCGTCCCATTTTATATGATGTACTTTGATTTGGCACAAACTTTAAGAAAAATGGAAAGACTCTACAATGTTCCGAAAATACCCTTATTAATATGTCTAATTTGTTAAATAAAAAAAAAAACTATATCTGACTTTGAATAGAAAAGTTTATGACTTTTTTCTCTCTCATAAGTTAATGTCACATCAGTCATTAATATAAATCAAAAAGAGTCCAATTCAAGAAGGGTAAAATAGGAATAATGTCATTAAATATTTACCAAATAAGGAAATGTGTCATTCTTTTTGGGACTGACCAAAAAGGAAAGTGAGTCATATAAATTGGGACAGAGGGAGTAGTTGTTATGTTTTCCTACGTGAACTATCACCATCTATGTATTAAACACACCTCAACTATCAATAGTTCCCTTTTCCTGCGTGAACTATCACACCATCTATGTATTAAACACACACCTCAACTATCAATAGTTTCATTTTCCTACCTAAACTATCACCATGGAAGATGGAAGTAGAGAAAATTACTAAAAGATATCTTAACTTACCAACTGGTTCTGGAAGGCTTAAGTTTCTCCGCAAGCCATCAATTCCAGCAGAAATTATAGCAGCAAGACCCAAGTATGGGTTTGCACATCCATCAAATGCTTTAATTTCAAAATTGCTTATAAGGCCATGTGCAACTCCAGGAGGGCTAGCAGCTCTCAATGGTGCCTCCCTGTTTTCTTTCCCCCAGCAGAGGTATGCTCCACTCCACATGTTAGGTTGTATGCGATCATAACTGCACTTAAAAAGAAGTATTGAATGATTTTCATTAGTCTTTCTGCAATTAATTTCAGGCCTCCAAGAGGTAAGGGGAAGGTCTTCGTACACCCTAACCTCCCCAAGACCCCGCTAGTGTGATTACAGGGGGTATGTTGTTGTTTCCGCAATTAAGTTCAGAACACAGAAAAGTTGAGATAAAATCTACTTTTAAGGTTTGAGAAAACAAGAGATTTGCAGCTCTAGTAACAATGAAAAAGAGAGAATATTGGGAAGAGAGGCAAGGAGGAACTTCTTTGGTTTGGTTACTAGCAACTCCAATTAGCTAAAAGGCCAGAAATTCCTTGTGCAAATATCTAAGCCTTTAAGGATCAATAGTCCTTGGCCATTGATCGTTCACAAATTTGAAAATTGAGTAAAAACAATTAACTTGTCATGAACCAAAAATAAATAAAGTAGTGGAAATATTGTTATTTCAGAGTGAGGCTATATAATTACAAATACTCCACTTATCCTCTATGTTTTCTTGGATTTTCAAAACGATGCCGCACCCGTGTCAGATCCTCCAACAATAACTACTTTTGGAGGATCCTAAATGCTCTCGTCAACATTTTTGAAGAGTCAGAACAACATAGCTTATTCTGATAGTGATAAAAGAGAGGAAGAACAGGAAGCAATGTAGAGCCCTCTAGATAAAAGCACAAAACTAATCGCCAATAGATATAAAGGAAGCAGAACATTCAGAATAGTAGAAAATCTCTAACCTATTAGGGAGTGGTGCAGTGAATGGTAATATGGCAGGAAGATGATTTAACACCCCAGCCATGAATGCTTCCCCAATCTTTGACATCCCATACCGACTTGATTCACCAGACGCCATAAATACATTTTCTCCATTCTTGGATAAACTGATGTGCACATGCGATCCCGAACCAATATCATCTAATGCATACCTACAAAAAAAGAGGCGACAAGGTAACAAACTGAGAGGTCTCCCTTGTGATACTTCATGCAGTAGAAGTTATGGAAATTGGAGTCCTGACAGAAATCTCCAGAGGTCAGAGAAATAAATCAAAAAATAATACAAAAGTAACATCATTTGTTCTTTTACCTCAACTATTTCGGAGGAAAAAAATACCACTTGCATTAAACATAATGAAACCTCTCCAACGATAAAAAGGCAGCGCGGTGTACTAAGCTCCTGCTATGACAGGTTCGGGGAGAAGCTGGACCACATTGGGTCTTACATATGCAACCTTACAGAAAGCTACTTTTACTGTTGTTATGCCAAGGCTCCCCTTCAACCCTCTCCCATAATAACATATAAAATTTTAATTTTCTATCTAAAGGTAGAGAAATGTGCAACGGAGAGCATGTGTTCTTTTTCCATTTTCCAATATAGAAAAGATTCTTCCTCTTGCGAGTATCTCTCAACCTCGGATTGAGGGGGTTCAGAGGGGAGAAGAAAAGAGTTCCGTTTTTACTTATAACCGAGAAGGATGTAGTTGTTAGTAGAGTTTAAATGGAACTAATTAAGGTGTATAAAGGAAAGCACATAATATGCAAGAATAACTATGAAGATAAAATAGGATTGCCCAAGTGCGAGTAAAGATTGAATGGCAGGAAATTATGCACTATCAATGACTACTTTCATGTTAGTTACTAGAGAATATGAGAAGAAGAGGTATTCCAAAGCCAACAGAAGAAAAGATCCCAAAAATGTTTTTAATCTTAAAACCAACAAGCATGGCTATGGTAACGGTTTCTAATTCAATACCAGACTTGATTAAATTACACTGACTACACATTTTGGTCAAGCCAATAAGGTAAATAAAAAACAATTAAAACTTGAGCTTTCACATATCAACATTGCAATTACTCAGGCATCAAAGTATGAAATACTGTGAGCATGTGGAAAATGTGTTATGCATCTCACTAATGTTTCTGTCATGAATTTCATACATGGAGCTTCAACCTTGTAAACAAAAATATAGAAATTAAGCGGAACTAAAATACCATTGCCATAGCACTTTAAAGAAAAGCAAAAGCAAATCCACATCAAGAATTCAAATAAAAAGAGCACCAAAAAGCAATGTGGGCACATTGTGCTACCTACTTTGGCACAAAAGTTGCCAGCAATCCATGTTTCCTTGCAACTGCTTTGATGACTTCACGTGCGAAAATTAAGCTGTCAGCTGCTCTAAAACAATCTGTGTATTTTAGAGCAATTTCAAACTGACCTTTCCCAGCTTCTGCATGTAACTGTATATTTAAAGGAGACAACATCAGAGAGGAAGTCTTTGTTGAATTGGAAAATAGTACAATGAAATATATTTTGTATATCAGTCTTACTTTTAGGGGAAAATAAAAAATAATGTAGTTTATATTGCGGGAATGTTCTCTTATAGTTCTATAGATAGTATGGTGTCATGGCATTATATTTCTACAATATAAACTACATTAATTGTTCTTTTGCAAGTCAAATAGGAATACATCTTCAAAAATGTAGGAAGATCAAATATGCAAGTCAAATCTTGCAATTAGGAATAAATATTCAAAACAATGTAGGAAGATCAAATTAGCAAGTCAAATTAATGGAGACTTACTTGTTCGACTGCAATATTCAACGATTGAAGAGAAGCGAAAACCTCTTCAAGTATTGGGGATGCAGCATCAAATGATGATGTAGAACAGTAAGAAGTCCTGTCAAATGGTGTCCATTCTTCTTTGCCATTTCTGTATAATTTCATTCTATGTTTACGCTAACATATTACAGACCAGAATCTCCAATCACACATATCACATATCATGGAAGAGAAAATCCAACATCCAACTATTAAGGGAAAACTCAACTGATGTAACTCACAATAATACAAACAAAACTCTCAAACACAATATTATGGGAAAACTTGACTGACATACCTGAATATACTCTTCAAAAGAAAAAATTCATTTTCAAAGCCTGCATTCACCACCTGAACATGTAGATATAAATTAGATAAATATGATTTTTTAGATGTTGCACAAAAAAATATTAAACATACCAAGTCGAATTCATCTTTTAAAACTTTAGAGACTCTGCGCAATGCTTCTCGCGGACAATATTCCCAAACTTTACCAGGTTCAATGTACATGTCAGCCAAAACCATTTCTTGTTGTTTATTCCTGGATCAAAAGATACACATTAAACTTGATTAGGGAACACGAAAACCAAACCATGTTAGAACGAAACTTGAGCAGATAATTTCCATGCCAAGGTCCATATTTAGAACAATGAAATAGTTGGACATCAACGTGTGAAATTTTTTAGAGAAATATAATTGTACTTTGATCTTCTATCTGTTTCCTACATGTTCACAAAATATATGACATGATATCATGGAAGAATTGCATCAATATTTCAACCTACATTGAAAGCTTTACGCAATTGAGTTTGATGACATCTACAACACATAAATTGGACAAGGAGGGAGTGGTGACGCTGCAAAACAACTGATATATGGAACCTTGAACTATGGAAAACATTTACACTTTGGAAAGAACCAAATCTAAAAATCAGAGCTGATAATGGATTTAATCATGTTTTCTCAAATCCTATTAAACTTCACTCCATTATATTGAGCTTCTACTGTAAGTGACCAGGTAACTGACCTCATACCCTTTTTTTATAAAACAGACTTCATACCTTATATCTTCTTTCGGTGATTTGCAAGTGCAGAAATTGGAGTTCTGCCCTTTACATCTGGTTAACTAGACATTCAACAAAATTGGAAAGATTCTATATTATTTCTAAAAACCAATTAGAACACAGTTGACAAAATCTCCATAGCAAAGCATTTGAATGAGTGAAGGAGGGTCTTCTCTGATCTTAACATTTATGACATGTCAGAGGAAATTCATGAAGATAACCCAGAGCATACGGATGCTAAAATAAAGCTTAAAATTCAAAAAGATAAGAAAAAGAGTGTATCTTTCAAACAGTTCTAAATGTTAAGCAGTACCACGGGAGTCTGCATTTGGTAGATAAATCAGGAACGATTCTGGTCTCTCCCGAAGCGGAGAGATTAGTATCCACTGCAGGACCATCAGATGATGAACTCATTCCCATACATGCACAAGTTAAGCCTACACCGTGCTTTTGCACAGAACTATAGAAGCGTTGTTGTGGAACAACCTGTGCACAAGACATGAACAAATTCAATCCACTTTTGACTAGAACATAGAAACTTGAAAAATGTCCCAATATCATGTATTGAAGGTAATTGAAAAGCCTGAAAAGTAAGCTTGAGCTTGCTGTACTTGACCTAAGTAAAACAGCAGATACAATTATGGAGATTTGGTATTTTGAAAAAATTCCTAATAGAACTATTACTTGGTATTAACTTTCAAATTATCATAGCCAACAAGACAATTCAAACTATGTAATAGTAACTCTACAAACCGCCATTAGAGACAGAATACTTCAACAAAATATTGATTTATTTGATAATTACAACATTTCACTTTCTCTGGATGCCTTTACTCAAGAAATTCTCTGCCCAGTATGCCTGAAATCTTTGGTCCAATTGAAAGACTAGGAGCTATCCCAGATTGAGCTCAATTCCATTTGTTATTCAAAAATCAAACTCCTTGCATTTTCTCAAAGTGGGACAAAGATTTGGGTGGTCACAAGCATCGAAAAGCATATCACATAATAATTCATAATCTTAAGGGAAAAACAGTAACATAAATGAAATAGGCAAAGCTTACACGGCATCTATGCTGGCCAGAAGCATCTATCCAGATAATGCGAACAAAGGTGACATCCTTTGATAATTCATTTAACTCTTCCTCTTGGAAGGAAGATGATAAAGGAGGTTTTACATCAGAGTATCTTGAAGAAACATCAAGCTTGTAGAATTTCTTTGAGTTTTCTGCAAAAATATCTTTAACAGCTGCAATAGCTTCTGGAATTGAAAGATCACCATCAACACATGCATCACGTAGAACAGAGAATACTACTTCACGAGCTTTCTTTGCACCTACAAGAGAAATTGAGTCCACCTGTATTATTATCTGACAATAACCGTTGTTTTCCTTCCTTACAGCTTCTAAAGAAAATTTTCCCCTGATCGACGTGATAAATGTGCCTCAGGTTTTTTTTTTGTCCCACCTCATCAAGCAAGATTTTCATTTCTATTAAGTATATTGATATAATGTTTGATGAACTTAAGGTACTTATTCACATTTCCAAGGCATAAAATCTTCCAGCTAGGTTGTTAGGAAATGGACATGCCGAACATTCATAATGAGCAAAGGGCACACATTGGGCAATCAAGCATCAGTAAATGACAAACACATCAACTGCACAAAAAATGTGTATCCTCTAATGTTCAAACTCCTTCAAACTCCAACAAGAGTGAAGTGTGCTGCGAGGACATGACATTCAGAAAGAATTGTTTGTACTTTTTAGCAGGCCAGATTTAACGGGTGTTCAGGATTAGCTGAAGCTAAACTTTCTATTATCTTTTGAAAGGCTACAAAAAGCTTGTCATGTCATGCGCTAATGATACAAGATGAAAAAGGAATCCAGGACAAACCTAAATAAAAGGTTTCCGCAAATGCGATGCCATCAGTGCTGAACATAATCTGTCAATATGCCAACATCAGATAGGAAAATGTTCACTGTTAGATGGAGAAATTATTAAGGCTCTGAAAGAGTAGTCAACCTAAGAATATAGAAATCTGCAGCCTGAACTAGAAAGATAATTATTAGGTACTTCAGTATATAATTTGGACAACCTTATTCATTGGGGAAAGCTCCAAGAGTTCTTTCACTGAGGATACCATCCCATGGAAGCTAAGTTTAGGAATTGCCAATCCAAAATCAAGATAGACCTGTAACAGAAGACATTGGCCCTGTTAGAGAGAACGAAAGCAAAAGATACAATCTTCTTCATCATCGTTAGACGTTGAAACATCTCCTATGTGGCAGGTGATACAGAATTTCAATATAGAGCTGTATTTACACATAAGATCTACACATTGATAATTTCAGGTGTAGGACAAAAAATCTCACTTGCATAAGATCTACATATTGATAATTTCAGGTGTAGGACAAAAAATCTCACTTGGGGGTACACAGAAGCCAGGTATGAAGCTTCCCTTGAGAACGGATAGGACGCATGCAAAAGCACTAACCGACTCTTCATGAATCTCTTATCCTCAAGAAGATTTCGAAGATGAAGAGGATTAGCAAGCCTTAGATCCAAATCCTTGTCCCCGAAACTGAAATGAAGAAATAAAACAATGTTACTTATAATAACTGGGAGGATTTACAAAAAGAAATTCTTTTTGCATGCATCTCACATTTGAATTGTAATTTTGAAAAACAAGAATATCATGCCATCAGCAAAAGGCTCAAAAACGGTTGACTTGATTGACACTAGAATAGCTAGAAAGAAAAATGAGTTCAAGCTAACTATTTCAAAGACAATCTTTTTGTTACCCGGTGTGTATTTGCATTGGCAAGTCATAACTTTGAGCCACCTTCAAAGCATGCAGGAAGATATAATCAATGAAGCTCTTGTTTGAGATTCGGATGGGATGCCCAGCTGGAAGCACAGAAACTATCAGAATCACATGCTCAATTTTGGTGCAATACAACCCCACATCTCACAACACTCACCACATAAAACATCACTAAGGCCCTCCTCGGCCTCCTTTTCAGTAACTTCCGTATTAATTGCAAGACCGCTGCGATATGCTACTATACTTTTAAATGCAAAAACTTCATCCGCTACTGTATAGAAAGATCAGGAAAAACTTTTGGAACCACAATTCGTTAGCAGCAACAAAAATGTGTATTTGCAATATTCCTGAATATATTGACAGATAATCAAAGGATATGACTTCAAATCCTCAGTGAAAATCTCCATGAATGATCTCAGTGTCCATGTTCCATTTGAACCCTATAATAGAATAGCATAGGAAAGGAGAAAAAGATGAGCAAATTTAACAGGGGTAGAAGGAGTTAAGGATGAATATTCCAGAGATGATAGTATGAGAAAAAATGAGCTCGCTCCCTCTGGTTGTGCCACTGATTATCAACAGTTAAAGAAAAATGGAGAAAAATGATTTGAACTCCTAGTCCCTCCACTTCATAGTCAATAAATGCGAAGGAGCTATCAATATTTTAACACAGTAGAAGAACTCGGCAATGAACATCAGCAATAGCAACACGGTTACATAAAATGATATCATATACTAGCTCCTTATATATGTATGAAGCCTACAAAGTCAGGTTCTTTTACTAAAGGGTCAAAATTCAAGTCAAGCAATGACATTGTTCTAAGAAAGTAAATCAAAGTCACTCATTTCTGATACTAAGTCATTGGTTTATATATATTTTCCTTTATAGCTCCTGTTTTGCATCTCTTCTTATGCGCATTATCTCAGGGTCTACTAATCTGAGAGGCACTAACTGGTGAAAGAAGACTCAAACAACACTAGAATAGTTATGATTCAACCGAGTATCCCGTTTCAACTACCAGAGCATAGTGTTTATCCATTTTACCCCCGTGATTCCACAAATACATTTGAGTAAATAGCAGTATACAGCATAAATGATTATTGTATTACCTTCTCAAGAATCTTTTCAGCTACACGCTCAACTCGGAGTATTCTACCAACTGTTGGTACAAAATTTCTATGCCATTTGATGTCAATTTTTTTGTCCAACTCAATTCCATCATCAATAAGTAAGACAGAGATTTTTGCAGCTTTGAAGCAAACAGCAGCGCTAGACTCCAACCCCAAGCGCTGGCGAGATTCTTGAACAGCATGCAAGGATAAGCTTGAGCCATATATTCCCGCGATTTCTTTGAGGCTTCTCTGAAAGAAGAAACAATGATGTAAGATGAATTGAAAAAGAGCAAAAAAAATGTCTATTAACTAGATTCATGAATGACAAGCTAATAATATGCCACATAAATAAGTAAAAAGATTACATCAGGAAGACCTTTGCGCATGTCCTTGGTCAGAAACTATGAAAGTAATCACAATTGTTATGGTAAAACGTTAATGTAATGACCCTCCAGGTCATTTTTAGATTAAAGGATTCTTTCCCTCGTATAGAGCATTCCTGTAGCGACCCCAAGTCATTTATGACTTGTTGGCACTGACTGTTCGGTCGCCTGGTCGTTCGTTTGGGTTTTAGGCCCGTTTCCTTGTTTTGGAGATTTTTATAACTTGAAAAGTTGACTTTGGTCAACCTTCTTGAAAGTCGTGCTCAGATGAAAATTCTGACAGCTAGGTTAGCTTCGGAAGATCGATTTTGGTCTAGAACGACCCTTTGTTCACTTCCCGAGGCTTTAGATGGCAGTTGTGGAATCTGGCTCAAACGATACTGGGTGTGGGATCCACTTTTCATCGAAGCAATCTCCAAATGGAAATTCCACCTTCACCGTTGAGTCCGAAATATCGTTTCCAATCAGATTCCATATATGGTTTGTATTTTTTCGACTCCAAACGAGTCCGAAACATCGAAATTTAAGTTTGAAGGGTTGTAGAATTTTGACGTGGCAGAGCCACGCGACGCCACGTGGCGGCGATGGAAATCTGGAAATTTCCAGATTTTAGGACGATTTTCGTCCATTTTTTTTCCCCTCAACTTCAACATAAGATTTCTCCTTCATTTTGAGTCCAAATTAGGTGCTTCAAAAGGCTAACTTCAAGAGAATTTCGTGGGGAATCTAGCAGTGATCTCAGAAACGCGATGGGAGGCTTCGTTTGAGGTAAGGAATCGAATTTAGCCACTGCTAGGATGATTTCCGGATTGAATTGTTGTTGAATTTTGAAATGTGAGATCTTGATCATCTTAGGTCCATTTTGAGTCATTCTTGAGGCTAACTTGTAGAGTTTTTCGCAAGGATCGTCGTGGTATAATATGTTTGGGTTGGAAGGGTCTCGTTTTTCCAGAAATTGGTGATCAAGGGGCTGCCCATTTTAATTGTTGTGGCTGATTTGCTATGTTTTAGGCATCTGTTTGTGCTAAATTTTGGGGTATTAGTTTAGTAAGGTATTTGGGACGTTTTCACGGATTCGTTTTCGAGATTCCAATTGTGGTCCCCACAATCCCTTTTTAGACCCGATTTTTGGTCCGTCTCCGAAAAATATAATTTTAGTGTCAATATATTCGTAATGACGAGGTGATTAACCTTTTGTTAGTAGGGAAGCATTTGGAGACCGTTCGGAGGGGAAAAGATCCGGTACCGTGAGTTGGAGCACGCGTAGTCGGCTTTCGGGTAGGCTATGGCTTTCTCTCGTGAGATTGAGCATGTTTAGGCATTTGTTTATTGATTTGCTTGAGTATGGAGGGGTTCGGGTGTCGAGCATGCTAAATTTCTATAATTCCTGCCTTAGACCTTATTTCGGGAAAGTGTTGGATTATGACAGCATGTCTCTTGATATTATTGAATATCCATATCTTGTGGTGTATATGATAATATTGATTTGAAGTATGTTTGGCCTTAGTCTAGGCTTAGACTAGTGTTGCCATAGACTTGCGAGATTTCGGATGTCGTTGGGCAGTAGAACTTTTTCCGACGTCGTTTCGGACGGTCAGCTCCTTGTAGACTGATATAGCAGACTTGAGTCTGATAGTCGGTAACTCAGCTTATGACCTTGTATCCATAATGCCCTGCTTTTCTGTTAGCTACAGTACCCGGTTAGAGTCCGTGGTCCAGCTTACCTGTGATCTGGTTTTGGCTACAGTACCCGGTTCGAGTCCGTGGTCCAGCTTGCACGTGGTGTATTCCCAATTCCTCACTAAAGCTTCAGTTTAGTCTTGATTACTCTCATCTGTAGGTTGAGGTTTTGGAGGTTGGAGAGATTCCGAGTAAAGTCCGGGACGTAATGAGATCCTGGAATATGATTGGGAATGGTTCAGTTAAAAGTCCGGAAATTGGTAATATTGTGATAGACCTTCTAGCTCCATTATTTTACTTTAACTGCCGATGCATCTGCCGGGCTTATGGGGGTCCGTGCAGGTGTTTCTTTTATTGTGCACGAGCGTACCTGTCGGGTTTATGGGAGCCCGGCGGAGTTAGTTAGATTACTTGTCTTTGTTGCCTGTACGCTCGTGTACATACCCCCATTTACTACTCTTTGCACTTGATGTGACCCTTTATTTGCATTTCAGTTCACTTTTGCTTATCTTGCTCAGTCGGCCTATGATGCCTACTGGGTACCTGTTATTTTGGTACTCATGCTACGCTCTGCATCTATTTTGTGATGCAGGTCCGAGCACTAGTAGCCAGCGTTGATCGAGCTTGGAGTAGACTTATCTGGAGACGGGGGTGAGCACACGGCGTTTTGTACTATTTCAGTCTCCATCTGTATATATAGACTTGTCTTCTTCCTTTCGAGACAATCCAGTCTCTGTTGTCCAGTTTTGGGACTTGTACTCATTTTGTAGTAGCTCTGTACTGGTGACTTCCAGGTTCTGAGAGGGATCTTTATTTGTATATATGTTTTGAGTTGCTTCCGCCTGTTTATATTGTTATTTTCCTACTCTTGTTTAATTTCTATCCTTAGACCCATTACTTGTTGTTCTGGGTTACGGGTTGGCTTACCTGCTGGTGGGTTATAGTAGGTGCCATCATGACTTGAGAAATCGGGTCGTGACAGTTAATGTAAGACCTGTCATCCCAGATGCACTAAAATGCAGACACATCATTGAGCTTAATGGATTGAAAACACAACCCCGCTCCCATGAAAGGATGCAGGATGAAATTACAGCATAGAAGCAAAGACTTATACCACATTTACGAAATGGAAAGATAAAAAATTAAGATAGTTGTTCCTTGAAAAAGTGAGGGGTCAAGCTACCTCCAATTCTTAGTCAAAAAGCTCAAGTAAAACAAGGAAATAGCTAATTTATTGGCCTTGACAACATTGCCTTAAAACTAATTTCTACTTGATGAATTGAGAGAAATGTCATTCTATTTCTATTGTCTAAACGTGGAATGATCTTCACGCAGTCCATAAACACTCAAAAGGAAAAGCAACCATAAAATTATGTGAAGTTTGGAGCACTCTCTCTAGATTCTTATTCAGTATTTAATATCTTACAATTTACTGATAAAATTATGGCGTCTTGGATTTTCCTGTACTAGGGGTATTTTTTGTAACTTCGCAGATTTGTGAAGTCAGCTGCAAATTAAAAGTTTCAACCACAAGTGACTACTTGGAGCTTTAAGAAATTGAATTTGTTAAGCAACAATATTTAAGATCTAGAGTTCATTTCTAGTTGGCTTGTGAATGATTGTGCGAGTGTACATTTATGCTGCAGTGCTTCTTTTTTAAAGAAGATAAGGGGAAATTGAGAGGCGATTACAAGGTGGGGAACAAAGTGAAAGTTCAGGTAACCAACCAATTGGCCTACTAAAATTCCACTATTCTGCAACTTGACCTGGAAACTGCTGTGGATTCATTCCTTAGATAGATACTCCACACTAAGGAGGCATGAAAAAATCGATTAGGCATCTAGAATTTGTTCAACATGAAACAAGAAATGCAATTTATAGTTCTTATATTCCTTTTTGATTTGTCCCAAAAAGAGTCTCTTTCTATCTTTAGTAAGCTTTTCAATTCCAACATTCTACATGGCAAGTTTAAGCCACAAGATTCAGAAGTTTCCCTTTATTTCTTCAACTTTGGGCCTAGTTAAACTAAGACACTTCAATTGGAACAGAAGGAATAACAAATAAGAAATGTCTACACTTTGGTCAACTAATTTAAGCAAAAGATGCCACATTCTCCATAGGGCCCTTTTAGCTCTTCCCTGCAATGTATGCTGCAGAGTGCAGAACCAATATCACAATAAATGAGATGGCCATAACTTAAAAATCAAGACCCCATCTCATTGTTCAGAAAACCAATAAATTGTACTTGCAGAAGCATTCAATACACCAGGACCAACTAGTTTCTCTATCAACCATTAGCAGCTAATGTTAGTGCACATTTTGGCCAACTCTCAATCATGTTTCTTTGGCTGAACGGCATAATATTTCCACAATGCTCATTTTTCTAATCATGAAACGTGGCTAAGTGATCCAACTCACATTAGGCCACAACCTAAATTAACACCTTCACATTTCGATTAATTTACACAAAAAAGTATAATCTTTTCTGCAAAACAAGAAATATTCCTCCAGCTCTTAACTGTAATAAAGCATAAAAACATTCCTTTTTTTCTTTTTCTTTTTTCTGGTTAACACAAAAACAGTCACTGCTCTCTCTCTCTGCAGTGACACTCTTTCCTTTTTCGCCAATTCAAAAAGAATTGTCACCTTCTCTCAAAATCCAAAAGCTCTTTAAACAAAACATTCCCATTTTGCCCTGGACAACTACTATTGGCTTTGAAGTGTTAAACTCAAATGTTCCTTTTCCTTCTCGTAAATTCTGACTATGACAGAGTGAAGCTGATGTATTAGAACCCATTTTTAACATCTATTAAATACTCCGGCCGTCCCAACTCAAGTGTCTTACTTTTCTTTTTAGCAATATCAAAAAGAGTGTTTTTTTCTATATTTAGTAAATTTTTCAATTTCAATATTCAACAAATTTAAGACTATAAGATTCAAAGCACTACATACATCTTCAAATTTTAAGACTATAAGATTTAAAATCCTACTTTTAACACTTAGATTAGGATGGAAGGAGTAGCATAAAAAATTACTCTCTTTATTTCAATTTGTTTAATCAACTTTTTTTTAGTCCGATTGAAAAAGAATCACTTCTTTCCTATTTAGCTACTCGATAATCTCTCTTTTTTCACGTGGCACATCCGACCACAAGATTAAAGACATCTTAGTATATATCTTTAAATAACAAATTTTTAATTTAAAAGCACAAGATTTATCATTTTTTTTAAAATGTACCAAGTCAAAATAAGAGAAAAAAATTGAAACTAAAGAGTATTCATTTTCTTCAAAAAAAAAAAATTCACTTTATTTGAAAATGAGCTATTGGCCGTGAAAATCCAAACAAAGTTGTATTTCAAATTAAGAAAATAGCTTATAATGTGCTTTCCATCTCGATTTTTCATTATTGAAATTGCACTTTAAATTAGTACATTCAAACATAAAAAATATTTCAAATTTTATTAGCAAAAGTATAATCAAATACAATACCAATATCAACTCCATCAAAATAAAAAATAAAAAAGTTGAAAATTATTTGGAATCCATAGCCAAACGCCTACTTAACTCAAAAAAATAATAATCTCTTTTTGGGATAGGATAGGAAAAAAAGTTACCTTGAAGTTGATGGTATGTGGTACGTCGGATAAGGCGTCGCCGGCGGCTTCAGAGAAACAGTTGAGAAAAGGTACCGTCGAATCAATCGCCACTATGTTATGGGCATGAGCATCCACTATTTCCACCGATTCTGCTATTTTTTTCAGCTCTGCAAATTTCTCCATTTTCGCTTTTTCCTCTTCTTCAGCTATACAGAGTACAGACTGAAAAAAATTTGGACTAATTTAATGGAATGGAAAAGCAATTTTATTTTTTGGAAAGTTGGCTTTTTGTATACTTTAGCTTGCCGAAAGTCAATTATATTAATTTTTAAAATTAAAATTAGATTATATTAATTAATAATTTATATAAAAAATTTAAATATTTAAAAATTATACGAAAAATATTTATAATTTTTTCCTATTAATATGATGAAAAAATACATCATACAATGTTAATAAAATTTTTTATCGTGTATTAGAAAGAACTACACGCGCTACCTTACGTAGCTTTATTTTTTGTCTGAATGTTGCTTCGAATATCGCGCCATTTTACTTAATTTTTCTCATAATGAGTGACTATTAACCACGTGAGATTTACTATTTCCAAAAATAAAAAATGTTAAAGTATTGCGAGTTGGTTGAATAGGGATCTCCCAATCTCAATTAAATTCATGCAAGAGTTTGCTTAATATTACCTCCGTCCACAATTGTTTGGCAGGTATACTAAAAATAAATGTTCAAGATTAATTGTCAATTTAAACAATCAAGAAATAATTAGTCATTTTTTTTTTATGCCCTTAATGATAGTGTAGTTCAATTGAAAAGTTATGTGGACTTTTGGTATTCTTGGTATAGTAGGGTTATATTAGTCAAATTACACCTTGTATTAAATTTTCCTTGAGGGGTGTGCATGACCTTACCCTGACAAACAATTGTGGACAGAGGGAGTACAATTTATATTACGTTGTTCTAGAAAAAAACTCCTTGCCTTCTTTATGCTTTACATGCGATAACAATCGCATAAATCAAAGTAGAGGTCGAAAAATTAATTATCATTAAGTGAAAATGCATATATACTCTTTTATTCATTTTACTTGACATTATAATCCTTTCGCTTATATTATTAGTACTAGATAATGGTCCCGTGCTATGCACGAGCCCAATAATATAAATGATATGTTTTGGGACTAATAACGGAGTTTTTGAAGCGATTGTTTGCGTGGATAAAAAGAATAAGTTTTTTTATCACAAACCTGTACTTTCTTTGACACTATTAAAATGGACCCAATATATGTTATTTTTGTTGTCTCAATTTATGTGACACAAATAAAATTTAGAGAGTCATCCAAATTTTCATATTTTTTTTAAAAAATGTTTTAAGTTATTAATTATTGTGATTTATTATATTTTTATGTAACTTTCAAATAACCTACATTACTGGTCACTTTGTCCTAATTTATGTGATATGGATAAAATTACAAAATTAACCCTTTTAAAATGTCTTTTAGATATTTTAAGTTGTTAATTATTATTATTTATAATACTTTTTTGATAATTTTAAAATGATATGTGTTATTTTTTCTGTCCCAATATATGTGAGCCTGATAGAATTCTAAGAGTGAACCTATTTTATTATATAGCTTTTAAATATTTTAATTTGGTAATCATTGTAATTTTTAATTCTTTTTAAGTCATTTGTAAATGATATATGTTGCTTCCTTTGTCCCATTTTATATAGTATAAAAAAAATTCCCAAAACCAACTCAATTTTTAATATATATTTTTAAATATTTTAAATTATTAATTATTGCGATTTATAATATTAAAATAAAATTAAATAGAAAATGTACAAAACTTGTATCAGCCTAAAAAATGACCACGATAATTCGAAGCCTATAGAAAGCAATAAGGTTGTACATAATTTTAAATACTTAATATATATTACTCTGTTTGTCTCAATGTATGTAGCATAGATAAAATTTCAAGAGTCAATCAACTGTTGTTAATTGTTAAGATTTACAATACATTTTACGTAGTTTTCAATAATTTCACATTAAATAATACATATTACTACTTTTGTCTCATTTTATGTGACATTGATAGATTAATTTTAAGAATCAGTCAATTTCTTTTTTTTTGTGTTTTTTTAATAAATATTTTAAGTTGTCAATTATCACGATTTATTATATTTTATACATAATTTGTAACGATAGATTAATTTCAAGAATCAATCGAATTTTTTTATATGTTTTTATTTTTGAAATATTTTATGTTGTCAATTATCATGATTTATAGTATTTTTACGATAGATTCACTTCAAGAATCAGTGGAATTTTTTGTATTTTTTTCAAAACATATTTTATGTTGTCAATTATCATGATTTATAGTATTTATATGCAATTTTTAAATATAAAAAACACACAAAAAAAAGACAAATAAATTAAAATGGACCCAATATATGTTATTTTTGTTGTCTCAATTTATGTGACACAAATAAAATTTGGAGAGTCATCGAAATTTTCATATTTTTTAAAAAATGTTTTAAGTTATTAATTATTGTGATTAATGGTGTTAAATTGTCCAATAATATAAATTTTAGAGGTACAACCATAAAAGAAGAATGTACAACTCTATCTAAGCACATGTAACACTTGTCATGTGCTAAGTAGTAGATATTCCCACTTATTATATATATAGTAATAGAAAAATATTATATATAGAAATGACATATTTATTATTTAACTAAATAATAAATATGTAACTAAAAATCTTGTTAGCTTTTGGTTGAAAGCTAACAAGATAGTTACAATCATAGTTGCATTGTGGCTTATTATATATAGAAAATATTAATAAAAGTGTTTGTCCTAAAGTATTTGTTAATTTTATAAAATCAAGATAAAATTAATTATTATTTTTTTCTCTTAAAATTTATTATTTTTTAACATATCCAGCTAAGAACAATTAGTAAAATATTTTCTTACTTATGATTTTTTTTAGCTATGTGTAAAAAAGAAATGTGATTATTAATATAAAACAAATGGAATATTAAAATATTTCTTTTTCTTTTTAGTTATTCCTTTGACAAGCATCAATTACATAAAATAATAATAATAATTAAAGTTAAATTTTCAAACTTAATTATAAAAATAATTTAGTAAAACAAATTTCCTAATAGATACGAGGGTATCAAGTGAACATATGTCAAATATAATGAAATGAAGGGAGGTTTTTTTAATATTTCGAAAAAATTCAAAAGTGCGACTAATTAATAAATTAATATAATTGAATAGTGTAAATAGTACGACAGTATTAAAATTAAATTGTCAACATATATGACTTATACTGTGATTTTATTTGACTTGCGAAATATGTTAAGCATTCAAACACTTACGCCACATTTGACTTTATCTATTATTTTTGTTTTCTTCCTAACTCTATCTTATAGACAAAAGTTAATTTTTATTTGGATGTGAAGTCACTTTTATTAGGTAACATTTTATCTCAATGTGAAACTTTTCGACATAAATTTAAATTTAATTGAATTCTAATATAAATATGAAATACCGAATATAAAATCAAATTTACCAGGCACATAGAAAGAGATAGGAAATGCAGGACTACCTAACTTTCCTATAAATTGGAAAAAATGAAACAATAACCTACAAGTTGCACCTAGGCTTAACCTAACCCTATCAAATAGATGTATCACAACCAAATTTATTTGTACTAATTCTTTATGACATTTTGACTTGGTGTGCCACCTTAATTAAGACTTAAACAATTGATTTTCAAATACCTTCCATTACTTCTTTGTATGATCATTTTCTTCTATTCATATTATAATTGGTTATAGGTATTTTGTTTAAATCAATTTTTATTGGATTTCCAACCCGCGTTCAATATCTATATTGGAGTCCGATTAATCCGGATTCACATGCGTAGGTCCCCACTTGGGAGAAAGCGCTCCCTATCAAAAAAAATTCCATGCACAAAACTCGAACCTGAAAACTTTGGTTAAGAGAGGAGCAACCTCATCTGTTGCACTAAACTCAAATTTCTAATATGAGTAATCCCAAGAACTCACAATTTGATCCCACCAAAAGGATGTAAAAACATATTAATAGAAGATTAATTAATATCTCATGATCCTCTGCTGAGAAAAAAACATAATTTCAAAGTTAAACAGAACTGAGGAACTTAAATTACTAACATGTTTTATAAAACAAGTGCATAATTAGATGAAGCAAAAGCAACAAAATTAGTTCAAATGTGATTAACTAACAATGTTATAATAAGATCATCTCACAGATACATTTGATCAACCTAATACTTGAACATAACCTCTGAATATGGATCCTTTCCACATTCACAGTAATACTTGATCTCATCCTGCAACACAAGAAATTATCATTACCAAAATATGCAAATACCTTCGTAAAAATTTCATGTGATATCCTATTTTGGCCATCGCTATATATTTAACGTGGGATGTTTAATGTTACGTATGACTAAAGTTCAAACATATCCATGACATAGGAAAAAAGGGGCGAAGTTTGAGAACTTACCCCACATACTCCTCTTCTTGCTTTCAAAAAATTTTCACCCATAGTTTCCAAAAACCATTCATCTGAAAATATATGTATTATAGAGCAACTAAGAGATGTAGGTAATCTTGTATCTTCGTTCTCGTCATTGTAATCAAACAGATTATAATCTTCTGGATCTGTTACACAGAGAAAAATAAACAACAGTTAAAGATCGAGGCCATTCTCATTTGCCCTGTCCTCTTATCACGAACTATGACAGTACACGTTCCTTATTAGTCTGTCCCAAAAAGAATGTCACATTTCATCTGCATTTCTAAAACATACCTGCAGGGTCTGGAATTTTTAGATTATTCCGCAAGCCATCGATCCCAGCAACTAATAAAGCAGCAAAACCCAAAGGTGGATTTGCACATCCATCAAATGTTCTCAATTCAAAATTGGTAACAGCGCCGTCCATTCCAGGAGGGCTACATGTTCTCATTGTTAACTCTTTGGTTTCTGGCCCCCAACAGAGAAATAATGCATTCCACGACTTAGTTTGAAAACGTTCATAACTGCACACGAGAAAAAGTTTAACTTTGAATGAACCAAACGTTATCTCCAAAAGATAGTTTTTACTATTATACTAAAAGAATCTGCAAAAGTCTATTCGTTATGGTGACACTGGGAGTTGATAGAAAATCGCGTACCTATTAGGAAGTGGGCAACTAAAGACACATATGGAACGAACATGACTTAACACTCCGGCCATGAATGATTCACCAAACTTGGACATTCCATATCGATTATAATCACTAGATGCCGTAAAAACATTTTCTCCATTCTTGGACAAACTGATGTGTACATGTGATCCACTGCCAGCATCATGTGCAGATTGATCATCTCTATACGGCCAATTTCCATCCGGAGAATACCTAGACAAAAAATGGACAAAATGCCATAGAAGAAAGATCACAGAATTGTGTTAGTCGTTACACCAACATATATCCTTCAATTGGTTATGATAAGGAGTTTCTTGATTCTGCAACAATGACACTACACCAGGTTACCACATTTTCGTCAAGTCAACGAAGTAAAAGAAACATCATTTCATCAACTATAACTTGAGCTCAAACTAGACCAATATTACAGAATGTTCGATGGAAGTACGAATGGTATAGGTGTATGATGATTAAGTTATGCTTCATACTCATTTCAGAAGAAAACAATATATAAAGGAAGCAAAAGCATATCGAGATGAGCAAGTAATATAGAAAATTGCACCTTAAATAAATTGAGGGAAAATCTACTACTTACTTGGGCATAAAAGTTGCCAATAGGCCATGTTTCCTTGCAATTCCTTTAATGATTTCATGTGTATAAACTAAGTTGTCAGCTTGTGTAATAGCATCTGTGTATCCCAGAACAATTTCAAACTGACCTTTCCCAGATTCCGAATGTATCTGCATATTTGAAGGCAACAACATCAAAGAAAGCTGACTTTGTCGAATCGAAAAATATGAGACAACATAGTTATATCTAGCAATAAATTCAATCCAAAGACCAGAAAACATTTTGAAAGTGCATTGACAAGATTAAGATGAAACTGCTTTCATGATTAATACTGTCATATGTAGCTAACTTTTTCGGAGACGTTCATTTCAGAAACGAAAAGTAGTTAAGGATAGTTTTAGAAGCACAAGTAATAGTAGTTAAGAATGTTGCATGGATGCCTTAGTTGAGATCTACGATCAAATAGGCGGTCAAGCACTAACACAGCAAACGCATACTAAAATTTCCGAGTAGCTGCAGCACTGCATGCTACCAATTGAAAAGCATCAGATTTCAAAGCAAATGCTCAAGGAAATGGAATCTTACCTGTTCAATTGTAATATTCAACGACTGCAGACAAGCAACAATCTCGTTAAGTACTGAGGATGCAGCATCAATTGCTGCTGTAGAACAGTAAGGGGTCCTGTCAAATGATTGCATTACCTCTTTGTCATCCCTGTGTAATTTTATCGTTAGAACAACGAATCACAGAAGAGAAACACCTAACACAAAATATTATGGGAAGTTTTCTTGACATACGCTAAAATAGTCTTCAGAATGTAAAATTCAACTTCAACGCCTACATTCATGACCTGAAAATGTAGATATATGTTAGATCAATAAGTTTTCAACTCTTGGGAAAAAGATAGTAAAACATACCAAGCCATAGTCATCCTCGAGAATTTTAGAGAATCTGCGAAGTACGTCTCTTGGACAATAATGCCATGGTTTACCAGGTTCAGTTAACATATCAGTCAAAACCATTTCCTGGTGCTTTGCCCTGGATAAAAAAATGCACATAAACATGATTATTCTTTTTTTTCTTCCCGTTTACGTTATCCACATGATTTCAATGCTATATTGGGATATATTATGAAGGAGAGCCTTGGAGCAACGGTAAAGTTGTCTCTGCATGTTCTATAGGTCACGGGTTTGAGCCGTGAAATCAGCCCCACTGATGCTTGCATTCTATGTTTGATGTTCTATAGACCATGTTGCATTCAATTACAATATCTTCCTAGCAACTTCAGAAAGTCCATATATTGATCTATATTATCAATGAAACTACTTCTACCTTTAGCTCGGTTAACTAGATATTAAACCAAATTTAAGAAGTTCAATACAACAAAAACATACCCCGTGAAATCCTACTAAGTGGGGTCTAAGGAGGATATAGTGTAAGCAGACCTTACCACTACCTCGTGGAGGTAGAGAGGCTGTTTTCGGATGACCCTCAGCTCAAGTTCAATATTGTTCAAACTTCCATTACTGAACAAGGGCTGAATTAAAGAGGGTCTTCCCTTATCTTCTCATATATAACATGGCAGAGGAAATATAAAGACAGACTATAGTATACATAAGCTAAAAACAGTGGAATATATGGAGCATTAATGCATAGGTTTCAAAGCAGTACCACGGGACTCTGCATTTGGTTGATAAATCCGGAACAGTTCTGACCTCCCCCGAAGCGGGAAGCCAAGTATCCTCTGATAAATTATCACAAATCGAAGTCAATCCCATACATTCAACAGATAAGCCTAAACCATCCCTTTTCACAGAACTATTGAACCGTTGTTGCGGAATAACCTGTAAATCATGCACAGGAAATGAAAAAAATCTATCCACTTTGACAGAATTTGAATATCTTTAAATAATTCGTAATCTTGAAAAACATATGATACAACTTACACGACATCTATGTTGCCCGGAGAAATCAAGCCACATAACGCGAACAAGTGTAACATCCGTCAAGGAATCGTTCTGTTCCTTCTGGAAGGAAGTTGATAAATGATGAGGTTCTACATCAGAATATCTTGAAGAAACATCAAGCTTGTAGAATTGCTTTGCAGTTTCTGCAAAAATATCTTTAACCACTGCAAGAGCTTCTGGAATCGAAAGATCACCATCTATACATGCATCACGTAGAACAGAGAATACCACCTCACGCGCTATCCTTGCACCTGTATGGAAAATGATTCCAGATTATACCAATCAAATTTAGAAAGAAGATGCAAGCTGAGTAACTCACTTAGCTAGTGTAACTCAAGGTGCATATTATTGGTAAAATCTTTTAATATATTCTGAAAAGAAATAGGTACAAAATCTTGTCATACCATACTCTAAATATACAATATAAGAACAATTCAGGCCAGACCTAAATAAAAGCTTTCAGCAAATGCGAAGCCATCGGTGCTGAACATAACCTGTTAATATCCAAACATTAGATAGGAAATTGTCCACTCTTTAAGGTTACGAAAGAGTAGTCAATGAAGAATATGGCAATCCGCTATTGGAAGATAGGGACTAAACAAGAAGGTCAGCTAATATTTGAATGTTATTGTTAAGAACATGAACAACCTTATTCATTGGCGCGAAATCCATGAGTTCTTTCACTGAGGATATCATCCTATGATAGCGAAGTTTGGGAATTGCTAATCCAAAATCAAGATAGACCTGTAATAACAGCGATTGTCCCGGTTAGGGAGACACGAGGTAAAATACAGTGCAAAAGCCCCCAAATAGCTAACCAAAAGCTGTGTCATAACATCAGACATACATGTTAATAGTTTCAGATAAAGATCTTACTTGAGGGTATACAGAAGCTAGATATGAAGCTTCCTTTGAGAACGGGTAAGAGACGTGCAAAAGCACTAACCGGTTCTTAGTGAATCTCTTATCCTCAAGAAGATTTCGAAGATTAAGGGGATTCGCTAGCCTCAAATCCAAATCCTTTTCCCCAAAACTGAAATGAAATTATAATAATGTCATCTTTAAGGAAGGGAGAATACTAGAAATGACGGAAAAGCAAATTGCATGTATCTATCATTTACTTCTAATCGTAAATAAGAAAAATAACATGCAACATTTGTTTATGTTACCCTGTGTCTATCTGCATTGGCAAGTCATAACTTTGAGCCACCACCAAAGCATGCATGAAGATATAATCAAGGAAGCTCTTGTTCGAGATTCGGACAGCATTTCCACCTGAAAACATAGAAACTATCAGAATTACGCGTTCAATCATAGTGCATTACAACATCAAATACTTGCAACACTCACCACATAAAACTTCACTCAGCCCCTCCTCAGCTTCCTTTACAGTTACGTCTGTATTAATTGCAAGGCCAGTTCGATATGCAACTATACTTTTAAAGGCAGTAACTTTATCAGCTTCTGTATGTAACGATCAGGAAAAAACTCTGGAACATGACTCGTTATGCGTCTAGTAAACATGATTTATACACTATTCTAGAATCTATTGACTGATTCAAAGGATATGATTTCAACTCCTTTGAGAAACTCTCCATGAATGAATCCAGTGTCCACTTTGTTCCGTCGGTACCCTACACTAAAAGAGGAAACAATAACGATATTAAAACATCTCAGGGGTAGAAGGATACAGCAAAGAAAGAATATCCCGGAGATAATAGCATGCCAACAATAGGTCATGATATCATAAACAACCACTGTATAAGTTCTTTTTCACTCTCAAGGAATAGTACATATCGACTTTTCGTCTCTTCAAGTGCCTCATCGACCTCCGTCATCATGACTCCACAAAACATATTGAATAAATGCAGTACACTTCAAAATAACAACAACAACAACATATGAGTGTAGTCTACAAAGTGGAGTTTGGGAGGGTAGAGTGTATGCAAATCTTACCCCTACCAAAGAGATAGAGGTTGTATTCAATAGACCCCCGACTCAAGGAAAAACAGTCTAGAAAAAGAAGTAACGGAAGTACAAGACACAACAGATTATAGCAAAAATAGCAGACAGCAACAGAACAAAATCTACAACAGAATAGTTGAGGTACATGGAATCAACAAATAGTAACAGATATCGAAGAACAAGAGCAATACTACAACTACTAATATGAACGAATGACAAGACAAAATGAATATATTATATTACCTTCTCAAGAATCTTCTTAGCTACATCCTCAATTCGTAGTATTCTACCGACTTTTGGTGCAAAATGTTCGTGCCATTTAATGTCAAGCTTTTTGTCCAAATCAAGTCCATCATCAATAAGTAAGGCAGAAATTCTTGCAGCTTTGAAACAAGTATTAGCACTCGACTCCAAACCAAGGTGTTGGCGAGATTCTTGAACAGCATCCACGGATAACTTCGAGCCATATAGTTCAGCAACTTCCTTCAAACTTCTCTGAAAGAAACGAAGATCGCAAAAGAGATATATAATCAATGTCTAAGAACTAGTTCCATGATCAACTACAAACTAACACAAAGCCACATAAATAATTAGAAAATGAAATGACAGGATTGTCTAATAACTAGCAATTGTAATACTGAAACTTTCATGTAAAATTGTATTTGTCACATATACACTAAAAATGTAGGCACATTCATGGAGCTTAAAAAATTGAAATCATAATCACATTCATGTAGACACCTTAACTTCACGTCAACTGACAACTAAACACTCTAACTTTTGAGAGTGCACATCTTGAACAATTCGTCCCCAAATGTGTCTCATCGACACTTGGTACTTAAATATTGGAGGTGTCTACATGATCATTTACCTCAATTGACAACTTAACACTCTAATTTTTAAGAATGCACATCTAGACACCTCATTTGACACAGACGTAACACATAAATTAGAGTTGTCTAGATGATCATTTGTAAGAAGTTGGAGCGTTCAACTGACACAATAAATGTCATTATGGTATAAGAGGGATCCTTGTATACCATTGAAATCTCCACAATTGAGCTCCTCTCCTCTTTAGGGATTTGGATTATTGGTAAAGAAACTTTGCACAAATTTGTTGGATTCTACAAAAATATTTATACAATATGTAAGTTATAGATTTAAAACCCAATAATCTCAAAGGACTATAATTCAGATTATATAAACTTTAAATTTTAGACGCGCTCTGAGGAAGGAAATGATGTTCTATAACTTCAAAATTGAGTTAATGGTAACAAAAAAAATCACATTTTCCTACTTATTTGAATTATTACTAATTATATATTTATCAAAACACAACTCAAGTAATATTTGATCATGCATAATGACACTCCAAGTAGATAACTAAAGCAATTAAATGGAAACTTAAAGAAAAAAATACAATGGTCAAAATAAGCCTGAAGTATCATTTTTTTGCGATTTTCTATATGAACTGTAGCCAATTATTTATTAAAACACACATCAAAATTAATGAGTCAGTTGTCATGTAGACAAAATATTATGATCAAAGTAAGTTGTCACGCGTTTTTTTGGCGATCACATTCAAACATTTGATCTAGTCAATTTCGAAGTGATTTTTGATAATTAATTGATTATAGTTTAAATAGGAAATGCAAACACCTATAATTTAGATATGAGACTAGCCAAAAACCAAAAGGGGTTCATATAATAGAACATGAACTTCCATTTGTAAAAAATTCTACTTCCGCCACTAGTTACTTTTTTACTGATTTTTCGTAAAACATTTGTAACGGATCATAAAATCGAATTCCCCTAGAGGTATATAATAAGAAAAAAAATAAACCTTGAAATCAATGGTTTCATCTTCCTCTTTGGCTTCAGAAAAACAGCTAAGAAAAGGGAAATTAGAGTCCAATGCCACAATGTTATGTGCATGAGTGTCCACAATTTCTACTGTTTCTACTGCTCTTTTTAGCTCTACAAATTTGTCCATTTTGTGTTTTAGTTAATTTGGACAATTAGTTTGTGTTTTAGTTTCACAATTAATGTGTAAACAAATCTAAAGTTCTTGTGTATACTGATCTAGCTTTGTTTTAATTTGTATGGATAAAGCTTTAAAGTAGTGGATTAACCAATTTTGTATGGTTAATTTGGTTCTACATAGTTCCAAATTAAACTACTTTTTGTGGTTTGTGGTAAAGTTGTTGTGAGTGTAACATGGTTGGTAGTTAGGGGTTATTTCGGTATAAAATTTTAGATTAGCTTTTATGATTTAATTAAAATATCAAAAAGTAAATATAAGAAGATATCAAAGGGTGTCGACATTTATTATTATACCTGAAAAGTAAATTTAACCTTATAAATTGATAAGAAAATGAAAAATGAGTCTAACTAATTAATTAGCTTAAAAATTAGTTTATGAAGCGAAGATTATCTAAAACTATATAAGAAAAAAATTGTCACATCCACTACCAATGTGGCATACAACACCTTTGCACACTCAAGTCTGTCTGTTAGAGCGTGAATACTATAATATAAAGACCTACTATCGAGTAACCTAAAATTTGTGACGAGCCCAACTTTAATATTATTATAAGAAAATGATCTTTGAACTAATTAACTCTACCTTAAAAAATAACTTATAAAGTGAAACTTGATGAAAATTATACAAGATCATATAAGAAGACAAATTCGCCTCATCCGCCATTGATGTGGGAGACAACATACATATAATGAAAGTCGAAAGATATTCAGATGATCAACTCTCTAACGTTGTCCTCTAGCTCCGCCCCATTTGCACTCATCTTAACTATTTTATTAAATATTTTAGTACCTTCTATCAACACACATATTAACTAAACTTTATCAAAAAGTACTTAAACAAATGTGAAAAAACAAATCACCTACTATTTATCTTTATTTGATATGAGGCCTAATGTCTCTTCAAATTGAAAACGCCAAAGAGTCTTATAGAAATCAAAGTAGAGAAGAATATATATAAGGTGTGTCACTGTTTAATTATCCAATTATGTTTGAAGTGTCAAAGATAAATATGATAATTCAACAGAAACTTTTCCAATTTGGAAAAAAATATTTTGTCTCGTACAATTGATACAAATGAAATTCCTTTCTTGTCACACAAATTTTAAATCAACTTTGTTAATGTCACACAAATAAAAAACATAATAGTTATTTTACCTATAATAGGACATATCCCTAGACATACGCTATAAAAAAACATGTTTATATATTATGTCATTAAGTAAAATATATCGTTAAAGATAATATACTATTAAAAATAATTTAAATATAACATATTTTCTACATAAACGAAGCTAAAAAACATACGTTTTAATTAATTAAAGGTGCATGAATAATCCTGTGCACGAGATAGTAATGATAGGAGATTAACCAGTCGGGATCGAGTAATCTCAAGGATTTTAGCCGTGCTTCTCCTACTCTGACTTAATTATATTGAATTATATATCATAAATCTTAAAATCAAAATTTACCGATAATGGAGGGACCAAAAATCTTATCATCTCAAATTAATAATTTATTTGGCGGTCATTTATTGATAAAACTTATTAAATTAAATATTTTACGTTGTGGACTCTACATCTTTTGCAATAAATATTTAAACCACTGTTTATTTTTTTAAAATAATAATATAGCAACTTGTCGTATTACTATAATGTATAATCTCTCGATTTCAACAATATTTAATTTGATTTGACTCTCAAAACAGCAAGTGGAGAAGGATCTAGTATAGTAGAATCTTGATAAAATAACAAGAACGGTCCTTTTATGTTTGAGGGTTGATTTAAAATAATCGTTGATATTTATTATTTTTGCTCGATTTCTAGAGTTTGGTGTAACTTTTTGAGGTGTAATTTTTGCTACTTCTTCTTTTTGGTGTTAGATGTCGTTTATGATATCACGGTCTCAGAGATTTGATGATAATTTCTATGTGTGTATTGTTTTCTAGTTCAGTTACCACTTATATCTATTTCACATTGCTGGTGAGAGTTCAATTCCCTCTTCTCCTACCCCCAATGAAAAGAAAAACGATCTATGACACATGACTTAGTTCTCTTGCACTTTCTAGATTATGAAAGAAGGTCGGATTCCTAAAATGTCTGTGCAGTCCCTCAATTATAAATGTGGGGTGCAACACATTCATAAGAAGGCAAAAATAGAATGAAAAGAAAAACGATCTATGCCACATGACTTAGTTCTGTCGCACTTTCTAAATTATGAAAGAAAAATGTGGGGTGCAACACATTCATAAGAAGGCAAAAATAGGGGGAAACATACATTTGGTTGGAGAAAGAGTAGCTAACTATAATAATAGACTTTTACTGTTAAACCAACTCAAAGTTTCACACTTGAACAGACATTACTGAAGCAAATTGAGACAAAAAAACACACACAATTATATTCCTAAATGACACAAATCACAATTCAGGGGGAATGGTTTATTTATACCTGACTATAATTCTGAAAAAATTGTTGCTTTTCTAAAGAACTATTATCAAGAACTTCCTTCAACACTGCTCAAACTCTGTTGCATAATATCATGAATCAAAGTCTCTATGTTTATGTAAGATGAGCCACCTTCCTCTAATGCCCTCTTCGCCATTTTCGCGATCTCTTTTGCCTTTCTACGTCGATCTTCTCCTTCTACACCCTCATCGAAGATTGTCTCAATGGCGTTCTTTACGCCTTCACGCTTCATAACTAGTCCTGATTTTTCTTCCATTCCCCACGCAACAGCAGCCTTGACTCCCACACTGACACCAGTGCCTAACACTTGTGTGATCAATTTCTCATTAATAAACTGTTCAGCAAACAATGGACAAGTAATTATAGGTAAACCGGAACAGCACCCTTCTAGAGTCGAATTCCATCCACAGTGCGTTAAGAATGCGCCTACAGATGGATGAGACAAGACGAGAATTTGAGGAGACCAGCCTTTTATTAAAAAGCCTCTTCCTTGAATCCTCTCTTCAAATTTTTCTTCTTCAATCCATTTCTCTAACTCTTTTGATTTCTCTCCTCCTCTCAGTACCCATAGGAATGGCCTATTTGATGCTTCTAAGCCTAACCCAAGTTCCACAAGCTGTGAACATGTTAGGCCACATATGCTACCAAGACTTGCATAAACCACAGAGTTTGGTTCTTGCAAGTCAAGCCACTTGATGCATTGGTTCTGTTCCAAAGACACATTTTTGCCCCTTGCTGCCTTTTCGGATTCCGATTTGTTGCAAGCTGAGACAGGGCCAATGCACCAGACTTTCCCACTTTTGATCTTCTTGAATTCTTTAACATATTCAAGTTCCAGTTCCTCAAATGTATTGACAATAATCCCATCTGAGATGGATTCAGCAGCAACCATCTTATTGCGAACATCGACTAAGTCAGGTGAACCTGGATTCAGATTTTCAGGCAATTGTGCTTTAGTCAGCTCAATTCTATGAGGCAAACCTGGTACAACAAAAGACTCAAACTTTGACACATTCTCATGAACTTTGGAACTCTGCAACTTTTGTGTGCATGTAGCAGAAAAACAGCCCATACCATCAAAGAAAATCCTAGGAACTCTAAACTTACGCGCACTATCAACAGTCCACGCCATGTTTTTCCCAGATATTATGCAACAAGGACTAGGCTTAAGATCACTGAACAATTCTTCAAATGGTTTTTGCAACATGCTAGCAGCAAGAAAGAAATCCCTGATCGAATCGCGCGAAGGTAAGGAATCCATGTTCTCACATCCTTCAGGCAAACCAACTTGTACTGCTGGAAATTTGAGTTCATGTACTCTAATCTGAAGGCCTGATTTGATAGAGGAATCAATACCTGATTTGAATCTGATAGTGTTAAGGGGTGTAGAAATTATAGAAACAATTACACCATGCTGTGCTAACAGTTTAGCTAAGTCCACCATAGGGATGAGATGGCCAGGGGACATTAAGGGTACAAGAACAAAGTGAAGTTGAGATTTTTGAGCAGCCATTGAGTGATACAAATTTTGCTCTTCAGTTAGCCTGATGAATCAGGAGTGTGAGAATTTAAAGTAGCTTTCTTGAGTGTTTCTTGAAAGTTGAAAATCACTCTCTGGAAGTGAGATGCAACTCAAACTTCCTTTAGTAATGTTCTGAACTCAGGTTAGAAGGCCAAAACTACCACCAGGCTTATAATCCTATAGCGAGACTCGGAAGCGGGGTCAGATTTGAAGTTTATGGGTTCTGAATTGTATCCATAGTGTAGATACAACTGTCACTATCCCCTTCTATATAATAATAATAAAAAAATACTCCATCCGTTTCAATTTGTTAGCTTTACTCTTCTTTTTAATCTGTTCAAAAGAGGATGTTTTTTTCACTTTTTAGTAACTTTTTAATTTTAACTTTTCACATGACATGTTTAAGACTACACGATTAAAGAATATTTTGGTACATTTTAAATATCTTTAGTTTAAGACCACAAGATTCAAAAGTTTTCTTTACTTTCTGAAACTCCGTTATAAGTTAAAATCAGACAATCAAATCGAAACAAAGGGAGTAATTCTTTTTAGAGAAAAAGGCAAAAGCTAGAGGTAGGATAGGTATAAAGTGACATGAGGATACACAAGCCTAACTCTCAATATATATGCCTATCTTGGTGGATGATGTGAAAGCTTAACAATGGAAGTCAACATACACAGGTCATGTCATGTAGAAAACGGTTGTTTAAATTATAAACTGCATGCCTGTGTGGTGCTTGTTTAATTTATTTTCTCCCTCTTTGTCCTATGTTTTTCTAATTGAAAGTGAAGGGATAAATTATTCACACAATCATGTGATTGGATATGGAGGAGAAGAAATACAATGTACTTACTAAACAAAAGAGACTTGAAAGCATATTTTATATTCCTTTATTTCAATTATTTGTTTTATTTTCCTTTTAATAAAAGAATGTCACTTTCCTAATTTGACAAATCTTTAATTTCAACATCATATATCACATGTTTAAGACTACAAAATAAAACGACATTTTTGGTACATTATACATATTCAAAAGTCCTTCTTTACTTTCTTAAACTTTGTGTGAAGTCAAACTATGACAAACAAATTAAAACAGAAGAGGGAATATTATTATTTTGTTCCTTTTCTCTATCCAATCACTAGAGTGTGTTTCCCTCTCTCTTGATGTTTTAATTGAACTAAGCAGCAGGAAGGGAAATTACAGGAAAACTGATGTCCAATTGGAGAAAAAAGAAAATAACTTACTGAACAACCAGATGAAATACTTACTGGATTCCATCGAATTCAAAACTCATAATATATTGCTGCAATGCTAAATTATGAGTTTTCTCTGACAATAGAATTTAATGAAGATGGAAAGTATTAAAGTCTTTGCAGGGCTGGAAGTTAAGTCATTATCATCTCAGAATATTATTAGTAAAATTTTCAATATTTTTTCTTGTCCTGTCACCTACTGGTCATTTGGCAAGTTCATTGAATTAAGCTTCAGAAAGATACGATTCCCAAAGTAACAAAGGCATTAAATAGTCCATGTTCCATGTTGGTAATAGGGCTAACATTACTCTTAAAGGGCAACCAAACTCAGTTTAATCATAATAAGGATTGTAAGTTGCAATGGCTGCCAACCTTAATTTTCCCTTTATAAAAGGGGAAATGCATTTCCACTGTCCTAATAAATGAATCAGATCAGGTGTAGCTTAGTGATCAATAAACTGAGTGCAACAATAATATACTCAGTGTGATCCTACAAGTGGGGTCTAGGGAGGGTGGGATGTACGCAGACTTTACCTCTAGTCCTCTACCTTTACGGGATAGAGAGGTTGTTTCCAACAGACACTCGACTAAAAAAAAATCAATAAATTGAGTGCAAATCTTGAAAACCAAGGTTCAATCCCAACAGATTCATAAAAATACTAATGTACGCAGACTTTACCTCTAGTCCTCTACCTTTACGGGATAGAGAGGGGTTGTTTCCAATAGACCCTCGACTAAAAAAAAATCAATAAAGTGAGTGCAAATCTTGAAAACCAAGGTTCAAATCCCAACAAATTCATAAAAACACTAGGTAACCTTTTCTCTTGTCTGCCTAATTCTTGGTGCACTTGAGCCGAGGGTCTTTTGAAAACAGCCTCTCTATCCTCTTAGATCCCACTTGTGGATTTCACTGGATACGTTATTGTTATTGTTGTTTGCCTAATACTTGGTAGGCAAAGTGACTTCAATGCTTGTACTAGTGGAAGGTAACAGGTACTTGCTGGAGTTGTCGAGGTGTGCGTTGACCCGGACACCAGCTTTAGGGAAAAATAATAATGAATCAGATCATTGAGACAAACAGGGGCTCCACATAGAGGATCAACCACGGAAGAGTTTTTCTAAGAATCAATACGTAAGTGTTCAATGACTTGAAAAAGATAATTATTGTAATGAGAAGAAAATATACAAAATTATTCGTTGTCGAAAAATAAGAATTTACACAATGAGCAAATCCCTCTACAAAGCTGATATAAAAGCACAGTTTTACAAGTCATAATGATGAGACTTGCAAACAAAGATCAGAGGCTTACAAGTTACAAATAGCAGAAAATGTTGTTGGCCACTGCACATGTTAAACCAACACAAGGGCAAGCAAAACTGAGATACAACCTGAGACACTCCAGGCTCCTGCTTTGGTTTAGACTGATCACATGAAGCTCATCGAACGAAAGAACTTCAAAACTCAGCTAGTTATAGTTCACATCAAAATCATAATTCTGCTAGCAGGTTCTGGCTCCTGTCCACAAGCTTGAATTGATTTCTTCGAGACGGGCAGAAGAACAATTGCTCCAGAAATTGCATCTGCCGAATGGCTAGCTGTACCCACAACAAAACCAATAATAACCTAAAAGTGAAGGATCTCAAAAAGATTTAGTTCATGCACTTAATCATATAACCAATCCAAGTGATGATTCTTATAGTAAAAAAATTGTTGTAAAATAGCAAGACTAGTAGTATGATCAAGCACAAATATTATGAAAGAATTTCATGCAATAACTAGTAGTATTGTCACTCAAGCAGAGCTTACGAGAATGTTGTCACACTAAGCTAAGTTGCTCGAACTCATAAAAAATGTTGTCACACCCGTGTTGAATCCTCCATACACTGCTTTTGAAGCATCTGACACGCACCTGACAACATTTTTTAAGAGTCCAAGCAAGTCTAAGTCTAGGCATTCTCTTCCTCAAGTTCATTTTTAAGTAATTTGCCTAAAATCAAGGTCAGCAAGAACAATTATAAATGGAAGCCATCGTTAATTAGTTAAATCTCCAACACCAAATAACACAAATCTTCCATCTGTTTAAAAAAATTAAACAATAGTTCACCACTCATTCACCCGATTAACAGAAAAATATTTCACATTTAGGAAAGACAAAAACTTTGCAATTATAAACAAATCTAAAGTCTAAAATTCGCAAATCTAAAGTAATTGCTCTAATATAATATTCACAGGAGACTTAGCAAACTACATAATACACAGATTAATTTCAAAAGCAAGTAGCTTTCTACATAAACGAAACAAAGAGAAAAAGATGGTAAAAATCAGGATTGTAGGGTTTATCGAAGAAGAAGAAAAAACGGAGGAAGATTTGGCAAAAAAATTTGGACCATTTCTCGATTTGTGCGTGTCATCCTTGCGTTGCGCAGGGGCCATGCTAATCTTTTCTGTATCGTTCCAATTTTATCGGATGTCCCCGAAGGGACAAACATACATCTAAGGATTCCGCCATATAAACACAACGAAGCTTCTTTCCCCAGGCGATGAGGGATAACTGACAAGTCAGAACAAACTGGTTGGATTTAATTGGGCCTCTCGTTTACGGCCCACTTGGTTGATAACTAAATGGGCCGGCCGATTTATTCTTAATTCTTAAGCTGTGTAGCCATTGTAAACAAGTAATTACTAGGAAAAATTATTGAAATATAGTCTTATGTTTTCTTTATTTTCAATATTTTCGTCTATTTCTAAAAACCTCTAAAATCCCTTATTTCTCTCCTAATTCTAAATTATCTTATAATGTATCCGAGCTAGTTTTTAATGTATCAGAGCTACATATTATGTATCCGGTTTGTTTTACTTTTTCAGGGATTAATGTAATTACAAACTAAATAGGAATAGATTGTAATTTCATATTATAACTATGTGATTCCTAAAATTTATACTTACTACTATAGTCCCTTTGGAAAGACGGCAAAAAAATCCAATTATACTTTTATCCTGATTTCTAAAAATAGTTATATCAAACTAGTTATCAATTTTAAAAATCAATATAACAAGTTTTCAAAAATATTTGACCAGAACATCGGAAAATTGAAAAACATAATGTTTTTCTTCCTATCAAACATATACAATATCCATATTGTAAGATATAAATAAGGATACAATAATCAAACCCCTCCAAATAATGTTTTCTTAAGGGCGTGTGAGAAAAAAAGGACATAATTTGAGACGGGGGAGTAATTTTTAGACGGAAATAGTTTATTTGAATAATTTTAAATTGTTAAATAACTTTTTTTTTCTTAGGCTAAGATTTCACGGTTTAATGACAGACCATAAAAAATGTCAACTAATTCATTCAACAAGAAATGTATTTGCCTTTTGAAACCTCGTTACTTTTTAAAAGTTCTAAAAGGAGTGACCTTAAAACGGCAAGTTTGTTTGGTAGATAATTATCTTCCCTCCCTGCCTTCTTTTGATGTTAATCGGAAATAGACTCGGTAGAGGTAAGGTCCGCACCCCAAACTCCACTTATGAAATTACATCAGGTGCGTTAGGGTTGCCGTCACCTTCTTTTGACATTAACATTAATAAACATATACAAATACGACTAGGGAAACTTTTTTTTTACTGGACAAATAATTGACAAAAGAAGCTTTTGGCAAAAAATACAATTCACTGGCATAGTTGTCCCCTTGCTTGTACATGATTTTCTAGCTTCAAAGGGGATATTTTGATCAACACTTTCAACTATAAAGTAAGGCAAAACTATAGTACTGATAAGTAATAACCAAGCTTCCAACGCAAACTCTTGGCATGAAGGCCTTACTGGCTAGGAACAGCACTTGCAGCTTCTTCTAAGATTCTTTGGGGTTCGGTGTCAGGTGCAGCAAGCTCACTAGGGGTCTGCAAGAATCACACGTCGCATTGAATCAATCAGACATCAAAAACATCTTAACTACACATGTTATATCAAAGAAGAAATGTTGCATGAGCTGCTAACCTTTCCATATATATTGGTCCTAGAAGGATAGGCGCCTGAAGCTAGCAATAATCTAATAACATTTACATGTTCACCTCTGGCAGCATGATGAAGAGGCTATTCAAAATCAATCAAACACGATTAGTGACAAGATACAGCAACGAGTACCTACACTCAGCTACCATAGAAGTTTGAAGAGCTATTTCCATACCAAATCCATGTGATGATTGTGTGTTTTTTACTGTTTAGATCCACAAAACTAAAATCAAAAATAAAATTTTAGTTGAAACATGAAACCCCTCACCGTATCACCTTCTACATCAACAGACTCCAACATCCTCTTCACACAATCAGGATCAGGGGCACTGTTGATCAGCAGTTGGGCAATCTCCGTATATCCTGTCAAGGGTCAAATCTTTTTTTATGGAAATGAATTGATACACTTCAAAAATATCAAAGTAGAGGACAGCAACTATGCCAGTGAAATATCACTATGAACTTGAAAGCGTATGACATACCTCCAGCACAAGCATCATGCAATGGGAGTGCTCCATCTTCATCCTTAGCCTCCAAAGAAGCTCCCCTCTCTAACAATAGCTGGATGGAAATTAAATTGAAGATGTTCGTTATCCTTTTGGTTATACGATAATTAAGAGATCAAATGATCAATAAAAATGGCAAATTCATGAAATAAATTAGCTACAGAAGCTTTTTTCAATTGAGTATTGCAAGTGACCAACCAGCACGCAAGACAGATGGCCATATAAACATGTTAGATGAAGAGCAGTGTCCCCATCTTCAAGAGGTTGATCAATGCTGCCAGTCAAATTATCTGCACCAGTCCATCAGGTAAGAACCCATGAATATGATGCAAAAATGGAAAACAAGTTATTCAACTTCCACCAAAAAAAATAGCAACTTCAACTCAAATACTGTTCAAATGCCGAGTTAGTTCTCTGGAGAGAGGCAACATAATGATCATTGCAGGCCTATCAAAGTCACTCTATTCTAGACTTAGACTAACGTTGTATAGAGTGAGGAGGAGAGCAAGTAAGAATATTATTTCAGATATCAACGTAGTTGCAAGTTTCGGAACCTACAGAACAACAGTCAAATGAGTGTATGAGTAGGAATTCAAGGCAAACCCCTCAGAATTCTGCTGAACCAAATTGTGCAACCTACTTCACTGTAAAATGAGAACTTATAATAGTTTGGGATGATTCTACATAGCTGGGCAGAAAGGTGAACTCCGAAGGTAAAAAAGAGAGTTATGAAAGATCATATCTCACAATCTCTCCCTCCCTCACTCTCTCTCTCTCTCTCACACACAATTATATGGGCATTGGCCTCTGAATAGTCCAGCTCAATTTCATTCCTACTCCTTTGATCATCCTCGAGATTGAAACGAAATATAGCTCCACAGACCAACCTTATTGCCATGAATCTTTGGCAACAAGGTGATGAAGTATCTTTTAGTACATTCTTTCTTTCAAAAATTATAATTAAATCAAGACTAAGAACCACCAATTTACTCCCAACATAAAGTTTTCATCTTTCAAACAACTAACCCCCATTACAGAACTCATCCACATAGATCTTGAATCATTATCTATTTATCCTCCACCACACACTACATCACACTCAAAAACCCACATTTATCCCAAAATTAAAAATGAAATTATCTTTATCACCCCCCCCCCCCCAAAAAAAAAACACCTTACCTCCACTTCCCCTCTCCGCATGTAGCTCAAATTCTCCGAAAATGTTGTCACGCCTGTGTCGGAACCTCCTAAAATACACTACAATTGGAACCTCCCACACACCCATGGACAATTTTGAAGAATCCGAGCAACATAACTCTAACACCCCCTCCAGGACAAGCACCAAATCACAATCACAAAAAACAATCCCTATCAAGAATTACTAGCACCAATTTACATTTCCCACAATAATAAACATAAAAAAAAGCTTTAATTTTGAAAGATTCAATAGCCAATCAAGTGTGAATAAAAAACAAGTATATAATAAGACCATAAAATACAAATCGATAAAAGCAAAGATAAATACCTAGGGCATGACGGAGGGCGACAAGGTTTCCATTCTCGGCGGCGTCAAAGAGGTTGAGGAGATGAGGAGGGACGGAATTGGTGTCCTCAAACTCAAATTCCTGTTCGAAAAAAGCTTCTTCTGCTTCCTCTTCTCCATTCCTACCCCTTGGTATAGCCATCTCTCTTCTTTTGCTCAACAAACTGAAAAACCCTAACTTGGAATTGGAGAGGGCGCTTAAACCCTACTCTATGAGAAGCATTTACATTTTAGCCACTTTGTGGCCAATATTTTATATTGTAGCCACAAATTAAAAAAATATTACAATTATAGCCAAAAGGGAACATGACCGCTCCTTTTTATCTTTCATTCGGTGTTTAGTACCCACATTGGAGACGAGCCAAATTTTAATTCACGCTGAAAAGTCCTACGTTGGGGGTAAATACTCCCTAATAAAGGCAACTCTGTAGCCAGAGAGCACTTGTTGATTACCGCTCTTTTCTTCTTCTTTATGCTCCGACAAAGAAAATTACTTTCCTCGTCCCGATTTATGTGGCACAATTGGAATTTTGAGAGTCAATCAAGTTTTTGTTTGGTTTAATTTTTTGTATGTTTCTTTTAAATATTATAAATTGTTAGTTATTGTGATTTATAGTGTTTTTTTTATAGTTCTCAAATATGTACGAATTTATGATCAAAATTTAAGAATTCAAATCTCAAGATTTTAACTATATCACGTAAATTGAGATACAAAGGGTAATCGAGAAGTTATATTCATGTTCTCTATGTGGTAATCTATATTGGCTATGTCAGTATAAGTTTATAGATGCTGCAAGCAATTGTACCATAGGCTAGTGTCTCCCTCACTTTAGAAAGATGAAAGATCTTTGGTGAGCTCCACACTTTTGCTATTCGTGAGAGTAGGAATGGTAAAATCGAACACAATTCTTTTAATTTATTGAAGTTTGGACGAATTATTGAATCGTGACATGTCAATTATTTTTACACTGTTATCTTATCTTTTGTTTCATACATCTGGTTAATTTCAACCAATATATTATTATTGGTGTTAATTTTTCTTGTCATTGTTAATTTGTTACTAGTCAACCTTGAACATTCAATTTTATTTTATTTTTTAAAAAACCAATCTTCATTGCTCACACGGTCTACTGTTAGTACATACAAGTTAATATGGATCATATGTAATCAATCAAATATTTTTTAAAAAAACTTATTAAATCATTTTTAGGAATTAAGAAAATTGATAGTCCTTATAAGATAATAATGGTACGTACCACCTAGTAATTAGTAACATTTTGTGATTTAATTAGTACTATTAATGGGATGAGATTTAATTTTAATTTACAACCCATGGTGAGCACGTCTTGATTAAAAGATATATATGATGTTTATTGTAATTAAAAAAAATATAAGGAAGATATTCACATTTCATCAAATTCAAAATTTTTGCTTATAAGCTTTAACTTTTGATTTTCAAGCCCAATGATGAAAGCAAATGGTGACATTTCAATCTTCATCCTTGAATTGTGTTGACTATGTTGATCCTTCCATTAAAAATTTTAACGTTAATTTGGTACGAGAGATTAGAGATAATAATTTCAGAATAATATGTAGGATGTTTTATCTTACATTTGGTTAGAGGTATTAGTAAGTCTCGAGATTATTTATCTCACATATATAATAGGATAATTAATTTCATGAAATAACTTTGTTTATCTCATCCTTCGTACCAAACGACCGATAAGTTTATTATTGCTACTCAATAAGCTAATTTCAAAAACAATCCGATGGGTATATGCTTCTATGTATATATATATATTTTAAAGGTTACGTCTTTGACCTTAATAAACATATTTATCTTTTCATGTGATATTGTGGTTATCCTAATTAAATTAGTCAAATTAAAACATATCAACATGAGGATTTGATTGTGACTGCACAATTTATTTTATTTTTTTAATAAGAGAATTAAAGATTCATTACTAATTTGTGATCAATTTTAGATAGGTTTAATTGAAGAAATTTGAAAAACTAGGTTGTGAGTTTTAATTAACCTTGATTAACAGATAAGACAAATTGAATCCACTCTCTTTGTCACTTTTACTTGTTCAGTATTTCACAAATGAATTTTCACTTTTACTTGTTACTTTTAACATATAAAAAAAAGACAATTTATTTCCCTTGTTTTACCCCAACATGAATTACTTATTTCCTCTAATCAATTTTTAAGCCTAAAACTATATATGCATCAATTAATATGAGTATTGTAGTAAAATATACTCATATTAATAATTGTTTTAGCATGCAAAGTTTAAAGCAGACAAATAAAAATGAACTGAAAGTTCATTAGGATATAATTTTGTTAATATTTCCAAAGTCTAACGTAATTAATTTCATAAGCAAGTTCATTAATTAATAAATATACTATATTGTAGTGGTTTGGGTAGATAATTCAGGATATGCTGAGAATAATCAATTTTATTCCTCTCATACTTGGCCTCCACCACATTTTTTCATATATCATAATAATAATTTTTTAGGTAAATTAAAGGTCACCCTCACTAGGGAATCTCCCAAAGACTTCATATTATTTATTAATCATCCTTTATTAATTAATTACATTTCTCAATATTATTTAAGGAAAAGATCACCCTCATTAGCAATCATTTTGGTTTTAGTAGTCGACCATTGTGGCTCTTTTTTGTATGTGATACCATCAACATTTAGAGATAATGATAATTAATGTTTTAAATTAAAAGATAACCATCTTTAATATCGTTTACTTTGGATGTACAGTAATAAAATAATATATTGAGTTTATTTATAATTATTATTACGCCTCAATAATCCCTTTCTATTTAGGATCGATTCTAGGAGTTAAAATCATAAATACAATTGTATTCGAATTTGTTTATGGAAGAAAGATTTATAACTTATTTTAATCACAATTATTAAAATAATTCATTTAATAGTTCACATGATTGCGAATTTTAGATTCTAAATATTTTGCTTGTGGTTATTATTATTAGAACTAGCTTGTTATCTTATTCTTTGGTTTTATTTTTATATGTGTGTTATTTCTCTGTTCTATTTATCGTACTAATTATGTTGATTATTTTCTAAATGATTTCTTCACTACTATGTTGCTTTTTTTACTGATTTTGATATGCTTTACTTAAATCGTGGGTTTATAAAAAATGATGTCTCTATCTTCACAAGATAGAAATAAGTTTGCGTAGACATCACCCTCCACAACTCCACTTGTAATATATATACTAGATATGTTATTGTTATTATTCCGAACGAAGAAAATGAATTTATCTAGATAATTAGCCATATTTTCAATTGTTAGAAAGAAATCAAGAAAGTCATTTAGGACGAGCTTTGGTTTCTATAATTTCGACAAGGGACTAGATTTTTTTCCTGATTTCGTATTTGATAAATTTAGAATTTGTAAATTGTAAACTGTGCTTAATGTCTGAAGCTAATATTTTCTGATATATAATAAAATTTTAAAAAATATTTTATTTCACTTACGTTTCAAATGAAAGGTTATAATTTTGTTAAACATAATTCAAACATAAACATGTGAAGATTTAATATTAGATGAAAATTGTGATAAATTACATAAAATGATCTTTTATATAACATCTATATATAACAACAAATATTTTTGATTTTTTTTTTTTTAAGAAATACTATATCATTTTGTAACTAAAACTAAGGCATGATTTTTTGTAACTAAAAATACCACCACTTATGAGAAATTTTTATATATTAATAAAGATTAGCTTAGTGAAATATATATAAACTATTTTTTTAGAAATATCACAATAATTCAAGTCATTGTTCTTATCAAATATGATGTGTATCATATCTGTTCATCTTATCCATTATTCTCCATATCAAAAAAATGTGGGTCAGTCTTTATGCAACAAATAATGATCATGAACCTACACTAATTAGAATTAAGAATTAAATGATCTTCTAACAAGCTCTTAAGATCAATTACTTATGGTATATATACATACTAATTATAAGCAACATGATTAATATTTACTAAGGCTCTTAACCCAAACAATTATGCTAAAAACATGAGCATGTACACTACTCTATTAGAAATAGAGTTTTTCTCACCGAAAAATTATTTCCTTTTTTCGAGTTTTCTAAGAGTATTTAGCTTTTTGCCTCATTTTTAGTGATCAGATAAGTATTCTTTTGGGATAAATATTGGAGGAATAAATAATATATTTTTTTTTAATAGAAAAACAAGATTAACTAAATGGGACAAAAAACAAAATTGGATATCATCTTATCAAGTAATGCCACGTGTCAATAATATGTTCCCCAATATACATGGCTTTGCTGGATGAAAATGATGGCAATTTAAATAACAAATAATATTGAAAAATATAAATTCGAATAGGAATTAATGAAACTATCAAGTACTCATATTCAATTTTAATTTCAATTCTTTTCTTAAACTTCAGCCAAATATTTGTCCAAATGCCTACTAAATATAGTAATATACCAAACTTCAAATACCACTTGTTAAATGCACATTTTCAATGGTAAACAGAAAAAAAATTCGCGTTTTTACAAAATTATGTATTTTTTCGTCTCAATTTACGTGATACTATTTGACTAAGCACAAACTTAAAAAAATAATCATTAACTTATGGTAAAAAAGTATGCCTTAAAACTTTTGCATGACTATAAATCATGTCATAATTTTTTTTAAAATTAAATGGTTTAATTCCTAAATATTAATTAATATGTTGGATTTTTTTAATTAGAACATACTTAAAAAAAAATATCACATAAATTGAAAAAAATGATTAATTACTTTTACCATAATTAAATACTAAAATGAGGTAATACGTATATATAATTTAATCAGAATGACACTACTTCCTTTTATCTCATTTTATGTGCACTCTTTTTTAATCCATTAAAAAAAATAACACTTTATAACTGTAGTTAGAAACAATTTGACTTTAATAAAAATGATTTACAATCACACAATATTTAAGAATATTAAATATCATAAATTTAAAAAAGAACTTTTTTTAAAACTGTATCAAATTAAATTATGTCACATAAAATATAACGGAGAGAGTATATAAGAATTTATGTAACAAATTAAATATTCCCCCTCACCCTAAAACAAGTACTATATAAGTAGTTGTTTTAGACCCTTATAACATCTTATAAACGCTAAAAAAAACAAATCTTTTTGATCAAGTATTTAACATTCTTGATTTTCCGACGATATGCCGATCAGCCGGATAGCAATCGGAAGGACGGAGGAAGCCACTCACCCCGACGCCTTAAAGGCGGCGTTGGCTGAGTTTATCTCAACCTTGATTTTTGTATTTGCAGGTTCAGGTTCAGGTGTTGCATTCAGTAAGGTGACCGGTGGGGGTGCAAACACCCCCACCGGTCTCATTGCTGCTGCGATTGCCCATGCTTTTGGGCTATTCGTAGCGGTTTCGGTTGGGGCTAACATTTCAGGAGGACATGTTAACCCTGCTGTTACATTTGGTGTTTTTGTTGGTGGTAATATAACACTTTTACGTGGAATTTTGTATTGGGTTGCTCAATTGCTTGGCTCTGTTGTCGCTTGCTTGCTTCTCAAGTTCATCACGGGTGGCATGGTGAGTTTGTTAAGTATTACACCCTCGGTCCTATTTTATATGAATTAGTTTAACTTGACACGAAGTTATATACACGAAGTAAACACAATACAAAACAGTTTTAATCAGAGGCGTATCTAAGGAGGGTTACCGGGTTCACGTGAATTCATGGTCCCCTCCCGAGATCATATATAGTAGACTAGTAGTGTTATATTTTAAAAAAAATTGAAATATAGATGTTTGAATATATATATATTAATTTTAGACCTATAATTTTAAAATTTTAACGATTTTCAGTAGTAAAAACTTAAATATCGAACCGATTAAATTTATATCATAGATCAACCTTTTTATAACAGTGCACCCATCATCTCAAAATCCTGAATACACCTCTGGTTTTAATACGCTCCCTAATAAAAGCTTTCTCAATGTCTAATCAATATGAGTCAAGTAAAATAAACGTGTATTATATATATATATAAATAACATTATTTGACTTTGAAATGATATTGCAGGAGATAGGTGCATTTTCTTTGTCTGATGGAGTTGGTGTAGGCAATGCATTGGTACTTGAAATAGAATGACATTTGGGCTAGTCTACACGGTGTACGCTACCGCAGTGGATCCAAAGAAGGGTAGTTTGGGAACAATTGCACCAATTGCAATTGGTTTCATTGTTGGAGCCAATATCTTAGTTGGTGGGGCTTTTGATGGGGCCGCAATGAACCCGGCAGTTTCATTTGGGCCAGCAGTTGTGAGTTGGACCTGGAACAACCATTGGGTTTATTGGGTTGGGCCTCTTATTGGTGGTGGGCTTGCTGGGCTTATTTATGAGTTCTTTTTCATTAATCAAACCCATGAACCATTGCCCCAATAAGATGAAAATGTAAAATGATGAATTTTAGAATTATATTGTGTGTGATTTCACAATTGCCCTTTGATTTGGGATGAACTTGGTTGTTTGGTGTGAAGTTGTTTGGGTTGGGAGAGGGGGTTGAGGGTAATTATGTAATTGTGTTGGGGTGGGGGTTGAGGGTAATTATGTAATTGTGTTGGGGTGTTGGTGGGGGTTGATCAGGGTATATATGTAATTGTGTTTGGGGGGTGGGGGGTGGAGGTGGGTTGGGGGTTGAGGGTATTTATGTAATTGTGTTTGTTCCATGTTACAATTGTCTGTTGAAGTTTCTTTAACTATGCATCAATATTTTTTAGTAATTGTTGTAATGTTTATACTAATAGATTAAGGTTAGGGAAAACTATAGAACATACTAATAATTGTATAAAGAGAAAAAAATGTCTAAAAATGATTTAACTCGCATAATAATATGTAAATGATAATATGAAAAAAGATTATCATTAAAGAAAAATTTATTTGATTGTCGAAAAAATCAAAATTATTCACAAATATGGCTAGTGCCTAGTTATCTTCTTCAAAAAGGTCTTCTCTACAAGCTGTAGCTTGGTTCTACAAAGTGGACACGTGTGACGCTCGGAGGGACAAGTATTCAAAGGCGGACCTAGGATTTGAAGATGTCGAGATTTTATCATCTTAATATAAATGCCAACAAAATGTTCTATGATGACTGAAGGCTATTATCGTTAATTACAAATTGCTCACCAATAGCATGAACAGTAATAAAAACACAAGTATATAATAGTCAATGAAGTGGAAGGAGAACTGCGAAGTTTCATGTTTAAATTTCGTCTGGAAGTAAAAAACATTAAATACTATCTTCCAATCTATCTAAATCTCAAAGCTAGAGTTATCTTGTGAATAATCGTGTACATGCAAGTTGGTTCAAACACTATCGTCCAAATTATTTAAAATATCATCTGAATTTGGATGTCAAGTTTTTTCGAAACTTAGAGAAGAGTAAAAGGAAAAAAAAAAGTCTATATATTATGCATTTTTCTTGCCTTTTTTTTTTTCACACAACAAGCACTTTGCTGATTAAAAGAATAACAACAATCAAGAAAACAAAAATCTTTTGTTACAAAATATTATGAATAGAATAACGGTCTCAAGCAGTATCCTAATCTTTGTTACAAATATTATGAATAGAATAATCTCAAGCAGTATCATCTGGTGCCATAAGATAAATTGGTCTCTTGTGTTTTGGTTGCAATGGCCTTCCATTCCTTTCAGCATACTGCATTCAAAATTAGATATAACAATAATTAGAGGCGAAATCAAGATTTTAAAGTTTATAGATTCGTATGATATCTCATTGTAGTCTCAAGTTAATATATAACAACATAACTAATTTTTTTTAAAAATATTTATATATATTTTAATGTATTTTTTTAATACATATTAATTGTGTCATATAAATCCATAAGCCACATTATAGCAAATGAGTCTATCTATTCAAATATTAACAATGAAAGAAGTTCATTTGATAGGATCGATCGGACAACGTAGATATTTACGTGTCTGGTATGACATAAGTCATAGAAACAAAGTAATATTTCATGAGAAAGTCCTTTGTTGGTGTTTGGTTATCAGGGAAACAAGAAAATGACTTTTCTCTTTTAGGACCGAAGTCGTTTTTTTATACATACCATAAGTTTTATTCTTTTTATCTCAATTTACATGAATATTATAAAAGTGTAACTTTCAGAATACTTAATTTTCATCATGAATTTAGGTGTAGATTCTTTAAATATTTTAAAACAAAATTTACTATATATCTAAAAGCTATACGAAAAATATTACTACTACAACTCCACAACAACTAATGATTCAAAATATTTTATAGAAGTTTATAAAATAAAATTATAGTCTATGAAAAAAATATTTGACTCCTTAAATAATGTCTTCACATAAATTGGACGGGGGAGTAATTTCAATTGCTTGCTCAAACATATACTAGACATAATATAATTATCAATTTTTAATCACGATCGGATATACATATTACATGATACCGGTTCAACTCAATTCAATAATTTTAATATTATCCATGGAAATTGAGTTACATCATACCAATTAGTCAATTACCAAACATAGTTAGCATAAAATAATTAAACAAAATCTGTTTATGGAGATTAGGAGAACTTACATCATGAACAGCTTCTCTAAGCATTTTGACTTGAGCTCTTGAAACAGTCCTCACCTAATATTGATTACAAATTGCATTAAACATATTATTAGTATAAATCTTAGTTGTTAATTAATATGGACTTAATCAATATTAAGTTGTTAATTACCTACCTTTTTTTTAATTGTCCAAATGACTCCTTCGGTGCAAGGAGGAACAGTAAGTGAACCCATATATCTATAATATTTTCTACTACCAATCTTGATTTCTCTTGGATCAATCATACCAGCATTTTTCACTTCATCTTTTTTGTCAATCATAGATGATATATTTCTTATCAACTGCCAATAAAATCATGTAATATTAGTATACTATGCGTATATAGATGACACAGACCTCATTTGTTGTCATTAAGATTAAGATATTTAAACTGAAATATGCATCTGAATATGATAACGTACTAGATTTACCTTGGAGAGAAATCGATCAGGTTTACCAATTTTGTAGAGAACTCCAATCACAACAATTTTATTTGTTGCATTTTCATTGAAGTGTACCATGTGCATTTCCATGTCATACCTGTCCCAAAAAATAACATGTTAAATAAAAGAAAATGGTATAAAGTACTTCGCCTTTTAATGCGTTTTATTAAATTTTATGTGATGTGAATCTGAATTAATCGCGTACCTTCTGCCGTTGACGGTGTGTTCGGAAGGAGAGTGCCAATGAGCTTGTTGTAGTGGATAATTTGTGCCATTTATTAAAACAGATCCAGCATCACCATGCCATTGTAACTGCACTCATATATACTAACTTCATTATTTTTATGATTTTTAAAAGGTAATTAATTAACAATTTGACTATTAATTAAAAATAAATTGAACAATATATAAGAGTGAAAAGTGAAGAGATTTTTTTTTAATTAACAAAGGTACACTTTAAATTCCTAGTGGTTTAGATCTACCAGCTCCATTATATAATGACAACGTGAAGAATAGTATATTTTTGTTGAAGAATATTCACGATTACTACTATTTAGCACTTTTTATAGCACCTTTTTTTTTACACTATTAGATATTCCTAAAAATATTTATATCAGAAACGAATTCAAGATTTAAATTTTAAAATAACGCTTCTAAGAGCAAGTATCGAGTTTTAAATATATATATATATGTTGACCTTAATGAAAAAATTACATAAATGACAACTTAAGATATCATAATTTATAAAATTCGTTATTATTCAAAAAAAATTACAAAAATACTTTCTCAGTTATATATTTATCCCCTTTCGAATACATTCCTCTAAGTAAGTAATGTATCATTTGCGCGCAATGTATCGTACAATCAAAAAATATATACGAGAGCAATGAAAAAATCAGAATTTTTATAATTGAGAAATTTTTCGAAATATAATATAATTAACCCTCAAATATATGAGATTTCTGTACTTTATACATATTAAATTCAAATGTATATATAGGGAAAAGAGAGGTCAAAAGTTGAGGAGCATCTTTAAAATTATTGAAGTACGTATAACTTTTGGGAACTCGAATAATAAAACATGATTGGCCCACCATAATTAGAAATTTTAAATTTGGACTATCTCTTAAAATTGTTCTTTTTCATATGAATAAAGACCTCCTAACACAATTAATTAGTAGCTGTCAACAGCTAAACCTATATAGTATAAAAATGTTTAATTTCTATAAACAAACAGTGTGAAATTTTTTTTCTAAATATTATCTTGCTTATTAAGTTAATTACAACTTTTTTTTTTTAATACAAAGTATTTTTCAAGTTGTTTAATTTCTTGGTAGAAGTAGCTAGCAACTTTATAATATTGTAATTTCATAAGTAAAAAGTTTGAGATGAGTAAATGTACGTAAACCTTATCCTTATTTTTCTGCGATAAAGATCGAAAGACTGTTTTCAATAGATTCGAAAGAATATATACTCACCGAAATGTCATGTCCTCTATTCTTAACAGTAGCATTGCATAGCTTGTAATGTCTTTTATCTGGCTTTTGAATAATTCTAACTCTTTCATGTGACATATCAATTGGAGATTGCATTTCTCCATTATTACAAGCTTCCCATTCTTTCTTCAATTTCCCCCACATTTTTGGACCTTTTTCACTTTTTTCACCATAATCAAACTCCCTCTCATCCTCTAATAAAATCACAAATATCATAAACCAAATATCAATAAATCAAACAATATAATTACAAAGACATATTATACATAATTACAAAGAACAGTTCTATGCATTAAGCTCATAGTTGAATATAAGAGAAAATTTTAGCTAGGTTGTTGAATTCCTTTACATTAAGTTTTCTAATTCCGCCACTATAGTCTATAGCTTTGAGCAAGGTACGAGAAAATATCAGATCCCATTGAAATCTAATATATAAAGCCTTAGATCGATTCAATGTCATCTCATAACTTTCTCAAACCTTGCTCAAAACGAAAGGTTAATGCATTGAACTACGTTTTTCTTCTTTAATATCAAAAAAACAAAAGTGTTGTAGTACTTACCAACTTCTTGAGCTTTAATAAGTGTAGCGGAGAAGAAGATGATGATGAATAAAACAGATAAATATCTTTGTTGCCTCATTATTAGAATTATTGCTACTTTTTTTCTTTCTTGGAGATGAAGAAAATGTAACAAATTTTAATAAGAAGAGGGTTACCTAGTTGGGCTTTATATAGATGGAAAAAAAAACTATGGTGTAAAATATAATTTCCTATGTGGCTGCCACATGAGACTTTCCTATGACTTTCTTTTTTTCAAATCTTATTGGACAAATTAATTATCAATACCAACGACCATATCACGACAAATTAATAATAAAGAAAAACAACAAGTGGAAAAAGAGAAAAAAATGACAATATTGCTTACGTTTGGGTAGGGCTCAAATCAATATTTCAACTATACTTTTGAGTATATTTGATACTCCACTCCCAATTTATATGATACAGTTCATTTTTCGAGAGTTAAATAATTTAAGTTTGACCTGAAATTTGCGCATTAAATTTTCAATTTTTTAAAAATGAAATTTATATATTTGTAAACTACGTAAAAAGTACTAAAAGTCACAATAATTGACAATCCAAAATATTTAAAAGATATATGAAAAATTTACAATTGAAGATAAACTTATTTGAATCTCAAAATCTGAAATGTGTCACATAAATTGAGACGAAAGGAGTACTTTAAAGTTTACCAAAAGATAAGCACTTTTTACTTTCGTCAAATATTATAATTGATTTTGTTTGTTAAAGTTGAGGAAAACTACGAAAAAAAGATTTAACCAAAAGCTTAGATCGAAAATAGCATAAAATGCACCAAACTCTAGACACTAGATAGCAAAAATTTCAAAAAAAACTACAATGGCAAAGTGAAATCCTAGATTTCCTGTCTTTTACTACCTCATCTAAGGGCGGTGCTAGTCAGGTAGGATCGAGGAGGTTCAATCTCCTCCAGGCTCCAACACTTCATTTTTAGGCCAGGAACGAAAAATGAAATGTTGCTTAAAGCTTCTCTAGTAGTGAAATCCGGATGCTTGTAGCTCAACTATATTTAATCTCAGGAATCGATGTCCCAAAAACACTAAACTTATGCATATAAGTATATGTTAAACCATTTTCAACTTTCTTGTATGTTTTCTTCTTTCATATTTTAAACTCTTTTAGTAAACATCCTGATTTCACTAGTTGATAAAAAACTTTTTTTTTTTATATTTGTGTTAGTTAGGGGTAATATGAATTAGTAAGACCATAATTGACAAAATCTAGAAGGCCTATCATTCAAGACTAGTCAACGTGCGTTGATTAGTATTTCTTATTAAAAAAAAAGGTGTTTTAAATTCGAGTTTTCATATGAGTTTTAGTATAAAACATAGATTATTAAGTTTCAGAGTAATTATAAAATAATTACATAAAAATCATAACAAAGTTGATTTGTTACTGGTTAAAGCTTATTACAATTACAAATTATATTACACAATATTAATTTTTTTTTATAATATCGACGTATATAATTAAATCTCTTGAAAATTATGTGTCAAATTCAATCGCCCAATAACCCTTAGAGGTTTAAAAGGTTTATAAAAGCAAGATTAATGCCAGCTAAAAAGTATTAAAATGCACTAATAATCACTTCAATAATTAACGTAGACTGCACTAAAATCCAACAGAGAAAGGATAAATAAATGTTGAATACGTTCCATAAACATAAAGGGATATTTGATTGATGCATTTCCCTACCATAATAATTTATAATGAATCCAAATTAAGAATATGGACGACGACTCTTATATTCATGTCTATTACTATTTTTACGTAGGTTAGCTCTTGAATATTTTAATAATATGACTTTTGGATAATTTTTTTTTTTATGATATGGCTTTTGGACGAATTTTTTGTGGAATCTTTATGGAATTGTAGGGAGTTGGGGGAACAAATAAGTATTGTCTAACCATTTTTAGAGTGACTTCTGAACATTTATGGGCCAATTTATAGGAATTAGACGATCTTCTCAGTTTTTCGTGTGTGTTAGCCGATGAATATACTGGTAATATGGTTTCACGATGATTTTTTTGTGAAACCCTCCGCAGGGAGTTGGTGGAACAGTACGTATAGTTTCACCATTTTTAGAGTGAATTTTGGGCAATTAGGGGTCAATTTACAGGAATTATAATTTTTTCAGTTTTTCGTATGTGTTAGCACAAGAATATTTTGGTGATATGATTTCCGAACAAATTTTTTGTGAAACCATTATGGAACTCTCCATTGAGTTGGGAGAGCAGTACGTATATGCTCACAATTTTAGAGTGATTTTGGGGAATTTAGGGGCCAATTTACATGAATTATGTAATTTTCTCAGTTTTCGTGTGTTAACACCCATAAATCTTTTGGTGATATGACTTCTGAACGAATTTTTTGTGAAACCTCTATGGAACCCTCCATAGGGAGTTGGGGGAGCAGTATGTACAATCTCACCATTTTTAGAGTGATTTTTGGGCATTTATGGGCCAATTTACAAGAATTAGATGATTTCTCAATTTTTTGTGTGTTAGCCCATGAATATTTTGATGATATGACTTACAAATGATTTTTTTGTGAAACCTTTACTAACCATTTATTTCATATGTAAATAAAATTTATAATTCATATCATTACTTTTAAATCATTTATATCACATATAACTATTATTATCACCAAGATAAAATTTATTATAACTTCAAATCAACTCCTACTTTACCATTTATATCCATCAATTTTTATTATTTTTTATCAAATTTATTTACCAACCAAATTGACCAACTAATGGCTAAAAGTAACAATGTTGGTTCGTCTTTTTGGTTATATGATCGAGAAATGCAAGTTTAGTGTGAGAATGTTGTTTGTGATATGTGTGAATATATTAAAAATTAGTACACTACAACTTATGTTCAATTTTATTTTTTATTGAATTAAAGTTTGATCAATAAATGCTGTATTTTTTAAGAATAGCTTTGGGATAGTCATGTGATTTTATAAACTTTTGCTTATTTGATATGCTTGTATAAAAGATTGGGGATGATTTTAATAGTTTTACAACTTATGAGTTTTTATGTTTAGGGCTTACCCATCGGTGGCCCCCTAAACTTGGCACGATCTTTCACTTAGACACCTCAACTAGGCTTTGTTCATTTTAGACACCTCATGTCACACCCAACTGTGTCAATTTGACACTTTCTGCTGAGATGGCATAGCAAGTGTGATACACTCACTAGACGCGCGTGAGAGCCTCATTTTACTAAATTTTAATTTTTTTTTTCTTCTTCTTCCCCATTTTTTGGCTACCATTTTCCAAGCTTAAACTCTTTCCATGGTGAAATAAATTTGACGATGTCACAAACAAAAAGTGAATTCTAGCGCCCATAAATATTAAGCTTAAATACTTTCACTTATTTTGTTGTCCTTCTTCCTCCTCAAAATAATTTGAGAAAATCAACATAAATTTCAAGAAGAAAAAAACACTCAGAAATGGCAAGAAATCATATTTTCAATTATCAAATCCTTCATTCACAACAAACAATTTTAGCATTCCAATCCATTTGTATGCCTTCTCACATCATAATCACAGAAAAAGTCCAAATCAAATAGATAAGCTATATAATTTTTAGTAGAAAGTTTGGGACACCGATCCATATTTATGTACCAAAGAACCAAATTTTGACTTGCATTGACCCAGAAATTCAGCAAAAGAGAAACAATAAAAAAAAACCCCAAAAAGGTTAAGCAAATGCATTACCACATTCACCAAATCAAGCATTCAAACATCAATCTATTAGAAGAAAGACGTTCTTATCTCACAAATTCACAAAGTGACAAAAACAAACAAACAAAAAGCTTCTTCTTTTGACACATTTGGGTGGGGGAGGGTCGGGGGTGGTGGTGGGTGGAGAAGAAAATCTGAGTGAGAGAGAGGGGTTGGGGTTTGAGGTGGAGGTGGGTAGTAGAGAAGACAATTTGGGGGTGGTGTGGGTATAATTTTCTTTTTATTAAAAGTGTTTTTTTATAAAAATTATTTAGTTAAAGAAATGCCACATGTCAATGAGTCATTGGTAGTTTTTTTTCCTACTCAAGATTCATCATTTAATATATATTTTTTTTATATATATATGCCATGTGTCTTTATTTAATTCGTCACTTTGACACGTCATCAACGAGTGTTTTACACACACCTTACAAATTTGGCAGATTGTCGAGAAAGTATCAAAATGACACAGTTGGGTATGACATGAGGTGTCTAAAATGAACAAAGCCTAGTTAAGGTGTCTAAGTGAAAGATCATGCCAAGTTTAGGGGGCCACCGATGGATTAGCCCTTGTTTTTATATTATTAGTTCATATGAATTAAATCCTACCCATAAAGTGTAAAAACAACTATTGATAATTAATGAGTTTATCCAAAAAAAAACAAGCTGGTTTATTCTACAATAAAAAGAAATAATAAGAAAAGATTAGTTATAATGGAGTGTGACGAGCAACTTAAGAGCAGCCTCTCTTTGATTTTTTTTTGTTTGTTGTCTTATAGAGTAATTAATTATCATTTCTTATTAGGAATATAATATATAATAATAGATTAATTAGCTTTAGGAAATATATATATATATATATCAAAATAAATTCAAAAATCTTGAAGATCGGTATAGAGATCCTAATTGATCTTTGTATTCAAATGATTTTAGGTCTGTTTGAAATCATGATTTGAAACCATGATTTGAAACCATGATATCAAATCATATTATGAAATCATAAAATAAAGTTGAAGTTTTATTTGGACTTGCAATTTAGACTTTTTATGTAGTAGTATGTTTTCTCATAAACATAAGGGCTAACCCATCGGTGGCCCCCTAAGTGAAAGATCGTGCCAAGTTTAGGGGGCCACCGATGGGTTAGCCCTAAAAACAAATACTATTGTTTTAGCATGTATTTACCATATTTTTCATCTTATATATTTAGTTTTTTTTTTTTTGAAAAATTAATTACATGCAATCATCATTTAGATAATCTGATAATACCAAAAAAAAAAAAAAACTTATGTTGTCAACGTGGAGAAGTTAAATTTCGATAAGCTATAAGCTTAAGTTGG